ACGATAGATCAGGGATTGAGATCTTGAGATGGCACGGACACTAGACAACAAGCAAAGAAACAAATTTCGCAATTAGGGTTTTTAAGAGATAATTTTCCCGCTAGGCGCCACGACGGAACGGGCGCTACAAGAAGCCCATATATCAAATGGATTCAGCCCAATTAAAATTCAATACAAAACCCAATTAACATCCACACATCTGATAGCCCAATTCAGCGACGTGTTTACTCAGTACATGACCATATCCTATGTAGCAAAATAAGCAACCACAAGTCACTAATGAACATAAAAGTCACTCGCCAAAACAGAAGTCGCATGGCTAAATAGTCATTTACATTCGCTAACCAAACCAAGTCACGTGTCGAAATGACACCAATCAAAAGACAGCCATCTCCATCATGAATCAGCAAATCGACATGAAGAGGATAGAGAAACCTGCATTGCATGATAAGTAGAAGAAATAATAGTAAATGAAACTTGTTACATATTGAGCAGACACCTAACAAACACACGGAATGAGTGAGGAATAGTAAAATTCATGAGTTAGGCATAGCACAATAAGAAGACGTAGACATAACAAATTCAGTTGTACATGATTTACCTCTATACATGATTTAAAAACATAATTCAGTACACTGAGTGATTGAGATATCTAAAGAGTAGCTGCATCATTACCTGATAACTACAACCTGCCCATGCATTTTGTCATCTCTGATCATGAGAACCTGCATCCTGCAACTACGTAACCACAATGAGGCGTATGATCAATCTCACATGGCTCTCACAAAAATGCAGAAACAGATATTGCATAAACACAAATAAAGAAACATTTTTCAGCAAAATGGAGATAGAAAATCTGAAGTTACTTATATACACTAACAACATTGTATCAAAAGCACGAAATACAACTATCTGTATATATAGCACATGTTGCCCTATAATGAAAATAGTACTTCTAGACAGCTCGCTGCAGCAGCATAGAACAGTAAGTCGACAATGAAATCACGTCCACATCAAGAACGAAGCAAATCGGGTCCTACCTGCTACATCACAGCTAAATGAACTTATGTGAAAAAGTTGTCAAAAGTAAAGTTGTAGAACTCATTGAGATCTACCAATTTTCTTTTGGTCATTTCTCCATCCAAGTTTAATTGAACTATATAAAATTTGAATTTTAAAATATAAGAAATTCAAATAATTTTTCGGGTAGTAAATGATTTCAAATGGAAAAGCTGTCAACAACAAAGTTGTATAACTTATCAACATCTACAACTTTTGTTATGGTCATTTTTTTATATGACTTTGTTTGAACAGTTTTGAATTTGAATTTTAAATTATGACAACTTCAAACAACATTTACAGGTACTAAATGATTTCAACTGAAAAAATCATCAATAACAAAGTGGCATAACTCATCAGGATTTATAACTTTTATTTGGGTCATTTCTTCATTCGGTAAAATGATTTGTAACATTGTTCACAAAATGTACGTATCTCTTATTACTTTGTCGGATGAAGAAATTACCAAAATAAAAGTTATAGATATTGCTGAGTTATACAACTTTGTTGTTGATGACTTTTTCAGTTGAAATCATTTAGTATTTGAAAATGTTATTTGAAGTTGTCATAAGTTGAAATTCAAATTCAAATTATTGAAACAAAGTAATATAGCAAAATAACCAAAACAAAAGTTGTAGATATTGATGAGTTATGTAACTTTGTTGTTGATGAAGTTTTCAGTTGAAATCATTTAGTACTTGAAAATATTGTTTGAAGTTGTCATAATTTGAAATTCAAATTCAAATTATTAAAACAAAGTCATATAGCAAAATGACCAAAACAAAAGTTGTAGATCTTGATAAGTTATACAACTTTGTTGTTGATAATTTTTTCATTTGAAATCATTTACTACCCAAAAATTTATTTGAATTGAGAGGAGGGAGAAATAATAGACTTTTTGGCGAGGGAGGAGAAAAAGGATTAGGCCAGCGGCCCAAGAGGGAGGAGGGGAACTGGGGAAAAGGAAGCCGTCCCAAGGAGGGAAAGAGAAGCGGGCTGAGGGAGGGAGAGTAATACTTGGGCCGAAAAAGGCCCAAGGACAAAGAGAGTGATTTTAATTTGTTTTCTATTTATTTTAATAGGTTAAATGAATTTTGTGTTATTAAAATTAGTTATTGAGCTTCTAAAATTCACGGAAAATTTCAGAGAATAATTTAGACCACGTAGAATATTACAAAAATATTCCCGTCCATGATTTTTATAGGAAAATTTTAGTTTCTTCATTAATTCACTTGATTAAATTGCTTTAACTATAAATATATTTTTCTATAAATGCATTATATAAATCTGTGACATTTGCTTTGTGCCCCTTATGACAAATTAATATTCGTCACGATATCCCATCGAAATACTTTATGACGATTTCTAGTTGGTATTAACGACGAACACCTTTTTTTCGTCACTGAGCCAACCCATCTCATACTAATCGTCATAAAATGGAATGTGCTAATGACGAATAGCTCCGACGTCACGAGAAATTCATCACATAAGGTCATATTTCTTCTAGTGGTATCGAATGATGGATTTTTAAAGCAGGGGGGAGGCTTACCGCTGAGTGGGCCTCAGCCCTAATGAGGCAATGCGCCCTTTGCAAGGCACAAGGGGGCCCTGCGGCAAGGGCATGGCGCGGGCTAACTAAGACGGAGTGGCGGCTTCGAGAGCCATAGCCAATTACCACGTCAATGCCCTGTAAATGCCCTTACTAGACCTATATTTGTGATAATCCCCCTCATCTCAAACTGTACAGGAATTCAGGAAATCGTCTGAGACATACCCTATATCATTTGTGAACCATTTCATAATGTCCCTTCTGTACCAACGCATATCATATATAGTGTACTGGCATATATGCTTTGGTGGGCATCAATTCTCGCAAAAAAAAAAACGGAAAAGTACAGCCCCAAGATAGCCACCAAAACTAAAAGACTATATACTCCCTCTATCCCAAAATATAAGCATTTTGGACTTTGATGCGGTATTCAAGACACTGTTTTGACCAACAATATATATAAAGTAAGATGTTTAAAATAAAAAAAGTTACATATTATGATAGTTTGTTTAATGAAAATCTGCGTACTAATATCAATTTTACTTGATTGAACTTTTTTTTTGCTATTAATAGTCAAAGTTAAAAATGTTTAACTCGACACTATTCTAAAAATGCTTATATTTTTGGACGGAGGGAGTATGTAATTATGTATGTGCTATTTAAATAAGTTCAAATGAATAGATTAATTAAGACAACAGGAAGAACAACACTTTGCTAAAAGACAAGGTTTGTAAAGCGAATTAAACTCCAACGACCGTTAAAGTTCTCCCATTACGTTAATTCAGACACCATATCCGCCCTAAAAAGCCTTTTTCTTTCACTCTCTTGCTGCTTTTCTCGGCCATCAGTTGTCCATGTGGATTTATATTCTACAAGCAGAGCACAGCACGATTGAGATTCGCGTGGTCTCTGCCATTCAAATAAATATAATCTTAGATATCTCCCGCGTCCACCAGTTTTCTTCCCTTTCACTTTCAGCGACATCTCGTATCATCATGCTTTATATAGTTGAGAATTTCTTTTCGTATTTTGAAATAACATTCTGTGCCCGCTGCATCTCTAAAAATGCACTCTCTTTGTTTTCAAATGTATGATGTTATTAACCTTTAGGTATAACGTTTGATTATTCGACTCATTAAAAGTTTAGTGCAAAATATATAAACAGAGTGTTTAAAGTATCTTTAATGATATAAAAACAAGTAAAAGACAATACTTGTAGTTTTATTGAATAAAACGAATGATCAACCGTCATACAAAAAATTAACAGCGTCGTATATTTAAAGCCAGACGCGCATAACATATATATCATTGTCAAGGGAAGGCCCTCGATAGCGGGGAGTCGTGAGACCCCCCTTTCGTGAGTTCGGCCGGGGGCAGAGGCTCGCCTCTTAGAAATCACGTGTTCGCCCCTAAGACTGCCGGCTAGCTTGCACACAATCGAATTATACAGGTTCGGGCCGCTATGGAGCCTAACACCCTACTCTTGTGTTTGGGATTATGGATGAGTTTTACAAGGGTTCCTTTACTCCGGAGAGCGCTCTCGCCTTCCTTCTCCTAGAGTTCAGGTTTTCTGAGAGTCGTCCCCTTGTCTCGGTGGGCAAGGTCCTCCTTTTATAGCTTAAGGGGATACCACATGCGCCGCCTCTACCTACCCCTCCATGGGAGGGGGACCCCACTTTACTTTGACCGGGCCTCGATCCGTGCCTTCGCCCGGAAGCTAAGCAGCAACCAGTCCTTGAGTGGGACCCAGCGCCGCCCCCCCCCCCCCCCCCCCGCCTGACACGGGGGACAGCCCTGTCATTCCCTCATAAATGAGCGAAGACTTGTGGTAGCCCTCCTTCGAGTGACGCTCCGATGTGACGGGTCATACCTACCTCCACTTCACCGGATACAGAGGCGACGTGGGGGCACGGCCGCCCGTTCAATCGGACGTGACCGGCAACAGGCCGGTCACAGACTGGTCACATCCGATTGACGGGGGTCAGTTAGGCACACCGCACGTCTGCCCTTACCGCATTAAATGCAGTGAGGGACAGTTGGGGCGCCGCGTATTTATGGCTGTCTAGCTTGGGTCCCCTTCTCGCTCTCTCCCCCCGCCACGTGGCAGCTGGGCGAGGGCCTTGGGGCGAAGCAGCGGGAGAGCCCGAGGGGGCGATGTCGCGCCCCGAACCCCCCCCCCCCCCTCCCCCCCCCGGCCGCTTTCGTGACTCGCGAGGTGCGAGAGTGGGGCCAGCTTGCAGAGCCACGTGGCTGGACGGGAAGGTAACTTCCCTTCACTTCGCATACCCCCGGGCCCATATCTCCGACAATCATCGATAGAGCTCTCAAGCGTGCAGAGGGCACTATAAGAGGAGCATATATGCATATGATTAAAAACAGAGGGCACTCGATCTTCACATGAATGTAGAAAATGCTTATTTTGTGTACGACAGTCGATACATAAATATATATTATCAATAATAACAAGGGAAGAAAGTATATATAGATGCCTCAAGACGTACTATATACTCTATATACGTACTGCATGAGAGAAGTACAATATATATAATATATTACGCCAAATTAACATTATATTGGGAACAAACTCATCTAAACAAGTATAAGGACAGACGTCCATGCGTATATAATTAACAACCCTCGATTTTCACAATGATCTGGAGCAAATATGTGATACATATATATATATATATATATATATATATATATATATCCCTTCTTCAGTCGCAGCACAGCTCGCAGAGCCAGCAGCAACAGAGCGCAGCAATGCTGAAAAAATTAAGAACAAACGCATATAAATCAGAATCAATCAATAAGAAACATCAGTAATTAAATAGCCACTAGCCAAGTGACATATATACGCACTTGAAGATGGGAAAATTTTTTTAAAAAAAACCCTATAGCCAGGATGAGAAGAAACAGAGATTAATTAACTCAGAATTAATGCATGGCATCAAATATAATGTTCTGATTATCTAAAAAATATATATATAATGTTCTGGAGTAGTGGAGTATACTGTATATATACGTACCATCCTTCAATAAAGCTCGTCTCCCCACGTTTAGTTGAACGGCGGCAAGATGATCCACAGCAGCGTCCCTTCTTCTTCCCTGCCTGCTGCTCCGAATCCAACCTCGGGTAACCTACAAACACACATGATTACGAGTACTCTAGTTCAAGCGAGTTAAGCACAAATTAATCGGACAGCTAGTTTAGATTTCAGAGATGGACGAACAATTAAAAGTTTAAACGATAAAGAGAGAGATGGGTTAACTAGCTTGTGGTATTTGTCATACAAATGTATACACGGAGGTTAATTAATTGAAGATTAATTAGAAAGCGAGCAATTAATAGATATCAATGGTCACCTGGAGGAGGCTGCAGCTGGCTGTTCTTGTTGTTCTCCATCGAGATCAGAGAATTGCTGTTACTACGTATACTTTGTGCTAGCTTCTAATTAGCTTATTGCATGAGCTGCAGCTAAGCTAGCGATAGCTTCAAGTTGTTTCGGTTGCTTGGTGTTGGTGTGTGTTATTGAGATCGACCCCTCCATGTGTTTATATATATATATAACATCGACGCACACGCGCACTACGATCACCAGAACAAACTAATTAACAAAGCAGATATGCTTTTCTGTTTCTGAATTACTTGCCATTTAACTTTTCAGATGGTTGCTGGATTTGAAGTCCAAAGGCTAGCAGAAGGCTGACAAAGTGACAATGCCTTCGAAAGGGGAAAAGAAGAAGATGACCCTGCGACTATAATGTTGTAACGTAAGAGTTCGTCAGCTATATAGTGCTATTTTGTTGACAAGTTGGAGAGAGAATCCTTGTTTGAAAATAAATTAAACTAGCAGAATTTTGCGAAGTTATTCGCTAGTTAAGTACCAGTGCTAACTTATTACTGAAAATCCTCTTGTAAGAGCTAGTAAATCTAGTAGATGAATCCAAAATTAATATTTTCTCAATCCACTGTACGTTATCAGTGCAGTACGAGGCAGATATTTTTCCTTCAATTAACATGCAGGTAATAAACTTTAGCCCTTGGGTTTGTAATTCAAACAAAAAGTTTGGAGACTTCCTTTATATCTCTGTATTTAATACTATCTTAGTAGTCGTTCTAGACATATCTAACATGGGAAACAATAACATTTGATAATTATTTTTTAATACTGTGTATTCCTTAAAGTTATTAAAAATATAATGGCATAAAAATGGTTTTTGATCCCCTACCATTTTATTTTCCTTCATATAACTTTGTCTTTAATAAAAATTTTACTCCTGCATTTAAATTGTCCTTAATATTGCATGCATCATTGTATTGTTTCTACAACAAACAAAATGATATTTTTCACAATGCAAATATTAACACTTGCATTAATTATAAATCACTGACTATTTGAAAACAGAGGATTCTCCTATCCAAACTTTTATGAACACTAATTTATTCTATTTTGTACACTAAAGCACATACTGTTAGAATCATTTTGAATTTTATTTTAATGCAGTGGTGCAGAATCACATGTTTTTATAAATTCTGAAGGAAAAAAATTAGTGGTTAAATTTTGTGTGTTTATTCAATATTATTTACTGTCGATTACTAAAAAAACAGAGGTAGCTAGTAGATCAATATATAGCCTGCTAGCTAGCTACTTCGTCCGTTTCGTATTATAAGTCGTTTGATTTATGTTCTTAATCAAACATCTTTAAGTTTTACCAAATTTGTAGAAAAATATAATAATCTTTCAATACAAAACAAACATATTATCAAAATATATTCAATGTTGAATTTAATAAAACTAATTTGGTGTTATAGATGTTACTAATTTATTTTATAAATTTAGTCAAACATAGCGAACTTTAACTAGGAAAAAGGTTAAACGATTTATAATATGAAACAGAGGAGAGGAGTAAGAGGAGTAATGGTCTTCGGACTTGCTTTAGTTTTGACAATGTACATGTAGACGAAAGCTAGAATCATCAGGTCGAACGTCTAATTAATATTCGGGAATATGTTTAATTCTGTTCGGAACAAACGCTCATGAAGCCTCTCGACAGTGTGGCGTCGCTGGCCGGGGCATCTGGCATCTCCCAGCGGTGAAGGAAGGAAAGCACGCGCTGCACGTATTTGCAGATGCTCGATCGATCGATCGATCTGTACTGCATGTGCACACGCATGCAATATGAATGTACAAATTCAGCAAATGACCGGTTAATTCATTCACGGTCGCATTGGATGGATACACATACGAATCAAGCTAGCTTTTGGCTCGCCGCCGAAAGCTACAATATACAGCCATGTTGTCCCCTCTGACCTGTGCTGTGTGTACGTACGTGCACCCAGCTGCTAGCTAGCTGCGTACGTTGCTTGCTTTGGAACAAGGAATCGATTCTATCCCCTCTCTGTTGATTCCTCTCTCTCTCTCTCTGACGAGACGTGTTTGCATCAGGTCGGTTTCGACGACATTATATATGCATCCTTTTCTCTCGTACGTACGTCGATCTGCAATGTCGATCGATCGATCGATCGATATCTCGCGGGCACATGAAAGCATCGAATGATTCCAAATGTTTTTGCATTGTGGTCTACTTCTACGTGAAAGAAACTTGCTACACACTTTGTTAACGCTTTAATTTTCCTCGAGATCTGCTGTTATAAAGTCGACGATGATCTGTTGTCATTTGGCCAGCTGATATACTCTCTCCGTTTCAAAATGTTTGACACCATTAATATTTTAGTACATGTTTGACCGTTCGTCTTATTTAAAAAAATTTGTGAAATATGTAAAACTATATGTGTACATGAAAGTATATTTAACAATGAATCAAATGATATGAAAAGAATAAATAATTACTTAAATTTTTTAAATAAGATGAATGGTCAAATACGTGCTAAAAAGTCAACGATGTCAAATATTTTGAAACGAAGGGAGTATATTGTTGGGGACTGGCTGGTGGTTAGGTATTAGTTTGCACGTGGATATAATCTCCGGATAATTCCACGCACCGACAAGAGAAAAATTAATCCATCAAGTCCTACTATAAAACACATGCACGGTTAGGTTCTATACGTGGTGTAACCGCGCGCGCCTTGCTCGATCATTTGGTTTCAATTGATCTTAGACTGGGCCATATAATTAAGTTCAGGCCTTCAATCTGTTTAGACGTACGTATGCGTCTATTTTGATTTGGATTAAGCGTAGTTCTCAACTACTTAGATTTTCTTGTGATAAAACTTATCTATCCATATTCAAGTCCTAGATTCAACGTAAGTGCTTGTACTTATGGCTAATTATTTTTTCGATGATAGCTAGACAACATACCCGTTAATAATAAGGCATATGTAGTGACTTTGTTAATCTCGAGATGTGACGACCCTATTTCCTTGGATGTCCTCATGAGTCATGACAGAGGTAGGGGTAGGTTGTGCGTGCATGTATGTGACCAGCGCTTGCACTTGTACAATGTTACGAGAAGACTTATTGAGCTATTCGATCGTCAGAGCACAATCACGCACCAATATATTGTCATCATATATACACATAGTCTAAAGTAAAACATGGATCTTAGAAAATCCCTATAAAGAAGTGGTAATGTAATAGTAAGAACTGCGACTATATATAGAGAGAGTTAAGCTCCTTAATTATGAAAGGGACCAACCAACCGTGGGTAGCACGAATAATCCACATCCATCCATGAATTTGTTTCAGAAAAAAACATCCATCCATGAAGATATCTCTCTAGTCCGTTAATTAGTATTCCCTTCATTTCAATTTATTTATCGTTATACATAAATCTCAAATTAAACAGGAGGTATGCTAAGTTAATTAAATCCTAACCAATTTTACCTAAAATAATGTGAGGAGTAGTATTAGTATGGATATATTGATGAATAGTAGGGAAAAACATCTTTAAAGTGCTTTGGAATATGAAAATGATAAATATTTTGACAAAATTTTGAATACTAGAACAAGTAAATTGAAACGACAAGTAAAATTGAAACTGAGAGAGTAGATAGTATGGAGACCATAAGTAGCTAGGTGGACTGTAAACTTCGTAACAATGCTAGACCAGTGGCAGCATTTTGTATTGCACTCATACATAAGAATGCTTAGAGCATATATATCTGCAATGTAGTGGTCAGATTTTTACGGCATCCACAATGTTTGTTTGTGAGAGTGGGGAAGAAGGTGGGGCCTTATTCTTCACCACTTTGACAATGGTTATTACCAGATAATAAGATGGTCTCTAATTCTTACTGGAGTAGATTGTTTTCTACTGCGTTGTGGATGCTTCTACTGTCGCTCAAGTAAGCTCAAGATCGACAAATATATGCTCAAGATCAGACCTTCCAACTGTTTAATTATGTTGCACAAAGAATAGGTTCCCTGTCGCTCTCATGGATAAACTATTTAATGGATGCTTTTTTTTTCAACTTAATTAATTTACCATGCCTCGCTGTGGACTTGTGGCAATGAATTTCCGACCATTACGATCACTTGTCGTGCCTGCGGTTAATTATTTAACATGCAATACTTATCACAGTCACAAGATCATGTATGAATCTCTCAATCTTTTCACAGTGACAAGATCAAGTATATTAATATCTACAAGATAAATGTGGTCATGCAGATTTTCGCCAACTACTAGATTTATAAGTATACTTCAATATAATTGTTTTTGCCTTGTCTGTTGGCTTTATTATTATGTTCTTACTGTTGCCTGAGTATTTGTTTTCTTTAAGAGAATTTTGTAATAAGTAGTTGTAGCTTTTTTTGAAGCAAAGGCCGGAATTCTTTTTTCCATTATTAAAAAACAAGATAAATGTGGTCATTAATTAATTGTGAATTCACAATTAAATTAGCTGCCAGGAGTTCTAATTAAATTCTAAAGCGCATGAGTTTTACTACGTGCACACCTTCGGGCAACGTGTGTCGTGCTAAAAATCATAAAAAAAAATTTTACGGAGATCATGTTTTTGACATATTGACATATCTGTAAGCAGCGTAATGAAATTATTTTATATAATATTTTAACGGATGTGGAGACCTGCACATCCATATTTGTAGGATGAGGGAACCGGCCCCTTCATTAGATTTGCTTGATTAGTTACAGAGTTTGTAATATACTCCCTACGTTTCACAATATAGATTCATTAACATCAATATGAATGTGGTAAATGCTAGAATGACTTTCACAATATGTCTAGATTCATTAACATCAATATGAATGTGGAAAATTCTATAATGACTTACATTGTGAAATGGAGGAAGTACATATTTTTTTAGTGCTCTAGCTTCTCTCCCCTTTGTGCCTGTATTTTTACATTTTCTCGCTTTTTACGGAAAATTTGCTTTAAAAATTATATTAATCTTTTTTCAAAATAGATGATAGTTAATTAATTATGCGCTAATGAGTTATTCCGTTTTGCGTGTGAAGATATAATGGAACATCTCCTACAGACCTTTTAATAATAAGAAACAACAAAGTAAACAAAAATTAGAATATCACACATAAGAAGGAAACCAATAAAACATGCAGATCATGCAGAAATGGGAAAAGGCATAAAGCAGATCAGGAAAAGAACTTAGAAGTTGCAGGTTTTAAAAAGGCGAACAATCAACATGCAAGAATCGGTCAGAAAATATGCAAAGGAAAAAAAACATGTGGAAATTAAAATAAAACTAGAATCCGAGCTAAATATAAAGCATATCGGAAAAATAAAAACATAAGGTTTAAAACTCCAAAGTTTTTTTTTTAAAAAAAAAGGGAACAAAAATGAGAACAATGTGCCGTGGAACATAGCAGAATAGCATGCTAATATTTTTGTTTTAAAAAAAACAAATAAAGAAACAGGCAGGCATGGAACATGCATGGTCATGGCGATTGCATGTGTTAACACTGGGTAGCTCAACGTAGAGACAGAGTAGGCAGATATTGCAAACAAGCGCATGGTTGATAATCCACACCATACAAACTAGGATAATAAATCAAATTAAACAGATAATGAAATAATTATCCCTCAAAGTCCACTGTAAATTTAGCCTTCATGCCGTTCAGTCGTAGTAGTACCACATGTGCTCCCATACAAGAACAGAAACACCAGCAAAATTTTGCTAAAACACCTAGGTTAACTTAGACTAGTTAGAAATTAGAAAGTACATAACACATACTAGCATCGTCATCAAACAAGTGAAAAAGTCATCTTGCATCTTTACACCTTTGGTCTGCCCTTTTTAAAGTCAGAAAAATCGACATATACTCAAGCACTGAAATACGAATCTAAATAGTTGCTGAAGGAAACCCGGTGTTGTCCTCTTTTCTTTTCCATGTATTTTTCTGTGTTCCTTTTGCCGAATGACATCTGCTTTTTCAATAATAGGACACTCATCTGGAAAGAACTGGCCTGAATAGTATCCGCTCACTGGTGCAGAATACCCACGTTTAGTCAGCGATATAAATGGGAATGCAAAATAGGTCATAAAAACAACAGCTTTAGGCCTAAGCACACCTCAAACGATGGACCAGAATTTCTTCCTGCAAACCAAGACTTTCTCCGGCTTGCTTTCCTCATTTTCCAACATATGTGTGGTGACATCCCAAAGGAACTTTGGTGCAAGATCATTGATTCCTGACAAGATGGCATTCTCATCTCTAATAATGATAAAACCCTGTATATTAATAATTTTGTCAGATCACGGATCTTCTCTATAAACTATATTTATGTAATAAACAATATAAAATTGAAAAACACAAAAGTTGATCCTACACAAGATAATGTCTGAATCGTGAATCTGTTAGCTTACAGTTCATAATAATATGAATGGCAAATCATTAGGTTAAGGATATGCTATCATTGAATTTCATAACATGTTATCTTATTTCTCCAGATAAACTATTTATTCTGCAGTGATCACCAATCTGATATTGTTGTCAGTAATTAGCTTGTGAGAATCATGGGACACAGTCCAATCCTTTTGTGGATAACTAAAAATGAATTGGGAAAATATTTATTAACTATGCAAAGCGATAAAACATCAATCATTACGTTTGCACTGAAGTCAAGTTGTTGATAAATATAGATATTCTGATAAGGCATTTCTACTCTATTTTATGATATATCAATAATGATAGGCCAAAACACTTGATGACTAGAGCTAGGATTTGCTGAGGAACATAGCATGCCAATGAGCATAACTTCTGTTCTAGCACAAATAGCATTAAAAAATCGTTTCTGTGACCATAATAATATCTATGTTTGAAGTTTGACTCTGTAGTAGAATACAAGGCATGGTTACCTCGGGGCGAATGATACGGTCCATTTCTAGCATGATATCTTCCAATGAACAGTCTTCCTTCCGACTTTGGTAATGAGAAAAGATGTGGAAAGCATGCAGCAAATCATATGTCCTAGGATATGTTGAGAATGGCTCGCACCTGCAGCATAGATGGATTTAGTTCCATCACAAATAATGAAAAGAAAAGTTTATTTTTCCAGAAAAACAACCAACCAGTCATGGTAAGAACCGATTAACCCACGATCATAGATAACAGGCAATGTGTTGCTCATTGTATGGGGTACTACATTCATAATCCAGACAGGATCATTGCTTAGTGCCACAGCAAATCCACCAATATTAGCATTCATGTCCATGACATTTCGGATGCTAGTCTTCTCAACACCAAGAAATGACCAATACATGCTAACCTGGTCCCTCCAGAACTTGTTATTCTTTGCGAACTTCTCTGGAGTAACTCCTATCAAGCATGTTTCAGCAAACAGGTTACATTCATGTATATGCCACTCAAGGCAAAAGTCAGATTTGATATTTGAGAGTAACTCCCATCAGATTTGCAAAAATAGTACTCGAAAAAGTTGAACTAATGACAATTATAAGCTTATATATAGTTGTTTAGAGAACTTCAAAATTGATGAATGCAAGACAGATTGGTATGCTTCATTAACAGCGCTTCCTAGTTCAAAATTGTAATGTATACAGAAACTATCCATTGATCCTTCAGAATCACCCAAATAATTAGGTAAGAGATAAAAAATATAGTAGATTTTATGTCACCCGACTTAGGCTGAAATAGCTTTAAGGACATAAAAATTTCCAAGGAACCAAAAGTCCAAAACAACCCCTAAATCATGAGCCTTAGTCTGGAAGGAGCACTCTATGTCACCAACAAATGGGTCAAGCCCCAAATGTCAATAACACTAACCTAAATGAATTTTGAATAGAATGCCTGTTTTGACCATTTTTAAGATTACGGATGATTGTTTGCCCATTTGAAACAAACAAAAAGTATGCTTCATTATGAAACTTGGCGCATTTGTCACATTTAAATGGAGCTTAAATGAGCTGACCTATCATCTCCAAACTCCTGGAATAAAATGATAGGCGGTCAGGTCTGGAAGGCAGTTTCTGCATATTTGACTGGTCTTTGTTCAATCTCACACAGTTCATCAATGGAATTTTCCATGAAGGTGGAGAATTATCATACGAGTCACAGATATTCAGTAGTTTCGTATCAGCATTTTTCTGTCGGCAGGATTGATCTTCAGGCTTGATCCATATGGCGGTCTGAACATGTTTAGCAATAAGCTTCCAGCACATTGATGTTGTTATATTCATTAACTTCTCCCAGATAACAGGAAAGTCCTTATCTTTTCTATAAGCTGGTGGAGCAGAGTATACAAAATATCCATTGGGCCGCAGAAGACGATCTACCTCTTTCAGCAATATTCCATCTGAAAATAAGTCATACAGCAAAATATGAATTATGTATTCAGATTAAAATTTTGAAACAAAGGATCATTGCATTTTAGGAAGAGCACCAATGTAGAACAGAGATTTTTAACTTGAGAGCAACTAAACTTTTAGATGAACTTGTTATAGCTGAATAGCACCAGCATAGTATAGCTGAATGTTCCCACAAAACTATGTTGCCCAATCAAAATCTCAAGAGTCATAATAAGTCAAATGTGGCTGCATAGCTTGACACAAACAGTGTTTAAAGTTGTAAACCTTACCATTTTCATGCCAGTCAACACGACAACGGGAACAATGAACCATTTCAAATGCATTTTCAGGATAAGGTAATTGCTTGGTGGCCAACACAGAGATCATTGCACCAATCCCACGTTCTAGAGCAAACTGGATTTGATTCTCATGGCCATCTTTTGGAGCAAATGACATAGTATGAATGTCTAGGGGAAGAAGGTAAGCAGAAAAGCTCGCAACACCACATCCAACATCCAAAACTTGGACCACTCCTGCCGAGCGGAGATCACCAGTACTGTTTGTTGTCATATTCCCTAGCCTGTGTCAATCAGGTATAAAACTACCATGTCAAATTATATTTAAAAGATTAAAAAAAGGAGAGCATCAGCATTAAACTAATATACTAGGCTGTATGCTTCAAATACAATGGTTGCTCAAGAAGACATTATAATTGGACCAAACTTGATAATGCTCAGCACCAACTGCTAATCAGGAAAATATGTGGTTTGCACTACATATTTTCCCCTGCTAATCATCACATCCAACAAATATCATCTATAGGTTCTTACAAGCAATCAAGATTGCATTGAAATCTACACTCACTACTGAACATGGGACAGAAAAAACGTTCTACTTCTAAACAAGTCAGGACTCAAGATTACCTCTCTATATACTCTGATGCACCATGCTTGAAGTGAGTACCACCTCCAGGAAACCACCAAAGCTTACCCTTCTCGTGCACCCAGTTCTGTCCTCCTTTTACCTCAGCAAGGCGTGAATGGTTGACGTTACTACGCCAAACATAGTCCCGACTTGTTGGCCATCTTATAGGTATCTTGTAGTCATTTGGTGGGGGCACCAAACAGAACAAGCGTTTCTCTTGTGGTGGGCAAATACTTTCAAGATCCTCATGCCTAGATCTATCCAGTTTCTTTAATTGGCTTATATAGGATGCGTCGTGACAGGGAATATACTCGTTGTATTTCAAAGGACAAACATCAACTCCATAATCTGGAACTGAGATTGGTTTTGTTCGATAAGAAAGAGAGACTCTGTTTGTAAACTTTGGAGCACCTGCATATGAAAATCAAACAGATTTAATAATTTAGCATGGAAATAATATACAACAATACAAATTAAACAGTGGGCTTGGGTCTAGGTTATGTCCACTAAAATGTATACTGTACCATCAATACAAACTGCAGCACAGAGAAAAAGAGATCAGAGAAATTCATATCTAAGACATACAGAAATGTGTCAAGATCTAAAAAATATAATGTCACGAATTATGAACTGAATAGGAGTGGCCTGCACTCTTTTGATTTTCTATACTGGCGCCGCATAGTCATTCCTGATCAAATGCCTAACCGATTTATTCCCTTTTTTTTCTGAAAAATGCCGAACTGTCTGTGAAAACTATACTCTTTTCAGTGTCTAATACATAATGTTATATCACCTGGTTACAAACAAACCGAGCAGTCCTCCATGCAAAACAAATAATCACCTTTCTACACTAATTCAAGATCATCGAAAATTTCTACAATTAGGAACCTAAAACCGCCACAATAGTTGCGCAAGCTACCAGAAAACGCAAACCGCCAACGCCATGGGCGCCTAATTCTAGTTCCCCCCAAGAACTGAACTGAAAAATGCGAGCCAGCAGCGGATCAGGCACCCCCGGGCGCCACCTCCCTGCGCTCCGAGATGGGTAGACGAGGTACCTGGGGTTCTGGAAGGATCGGGCGATCGGGAGGCGGATGGGGGCAGTAAGAGCGCGGGGGCGGAGGGGGAGCGGAAGACGGTGCCGGCGTAGAAGGAGGCAGCGACGAGGGCGACGCCCAGCAGCAGCAGCTGCACCGACCGCGGCTCCGCCGTCGCGGCCGCCGCCGACGTCGGCGGCCACCACCGCCCCATTCTTCCGCTGCCCCCCTCTCTCTCTACTGAGTCACTGACACTCTCCCCCCGCGGCAAGTTGATCTACTGCTTGCTTTTTATTTTGTTTTTTCTTTTTTTTTTAGAGAGAGAGAGAGGAATGATCGATCCATTGCTTGGGGATTGGGACATGAAGATGGAGTAGCTTTGACTCATGTTCATTTTGTTTCTATATTTATGTTGCTCATACATTTTTCATCCCTTTTGTTTACTAGGCAGTGAGTACGGATCCTTGTTAAATATACTGAAAATCTGTAATATAAGAAATAAATAATTAATGTTATTAAGTTTATAAAATCGTGTAACTCCCTCAGAGCCTCATCGTTTGGCCTAAACCGTCAAAGAATAAACCAAAATTTAAATTTTTGAACTTGATTTAGTTGATTTTGAGATGCTTTTAACGTAATTTCTGTTAATGTTGGCTTTTAAGTCGCTACGTACAAATCTATAAAAGTTTTAATTATAAATTATTTTTTATTTTCTATCTATTGGCTTATTAGGCAAAATGAGCAACCAATGGGAGCCTCAGTCCCTCTTTAACTAACTCTTGTATTTTAGGGACATGTCCACTGTCACTACCATCTACTATCATGGACGGAGAGAAATAAAGCACAAATCTTAAGGAGATGCAAGGAAATAGAAAAGAAAATTCACAACGGCGATATTGATATGTTTTCCGATTGCACACCTCAAAAACTGCACAAAAACAATTGCATTATGCCTTACACGGAATTTTTTTTAAAGAACCCAAATTGGACTTTGGAATCTCTGGGAGTTCTCACATGAGTAGGTAAAATTCCTTCATTTCGGGTGATTTAGCACCAAAGATCATACATACAACTGGCAAGTGATCAGCGTGCCGCGCATGCAAAATTCCCATGCTTGTAGTCAAGCAGGCAGATGGAACAACAGGACTAATAGATGTACAATGATCAATCATATCACACACTTCACAACATAATAGGAGCTAGGAGAAAGAGTCTGTACTTTGAACACCTTTATTTCCATAAAAAAAACAAATGCAAATGCTATTTCATTTGTATAAACTATTCCAAAGCTCAATCGATCTCTCAAGTACCCAATGCCTACATGATGATGATACAAACATATGTGATGCTGGGTTGAACTGAACACAGGTTTAGCCCTTGGCCTGAGACAATGCAGATCCAATCTGAAGCATGAGAGGGTACACAGGGCTGAACTCCTTATCTCCGCGAGACCTGACCTTCATCTCGTAGTCATCCAAGGTTGCTTTCACCCCTTTCCAGATCTGATCCTCGCCCTGGGAATCAAGCCAGAGAGAATACTGCAGCGGCGTGAGCTTGTTACGCTGCAATGGAGACTGTAACTCATCAGGTCCTCGAGAATATAGGTGGTGGAGGATCACACTAGGGGGCAAGTCCTGAAGGAGTGGAGATTTCTCAAGCTGAGACGTCTCCAGGAATAGGACAGGCCTGAATGCACGCAGCGCCCGGTACGGTGCGCCTAGCTGCTCCACTGGAAACAGATTCTGACCAACAGCGAGCTCCAGCTCGGCCATGTCCCTTGTCATTCTCAGCTTCCCGGCTTCAGAGAGTGGCCTAACTAGAGAGGCGTGCCTTATGAACAATATGAGGACTCTTGAGGCCATACTTCTAACCATTATGGTACAGATGGTCTCTGAGCGGGATGATGATGAAGGTAGAAGCTTTGACAAGAACTCGCTACGGAAGTGGACAGCACACTTCTGCAGTTCCTCCATGTAAGCTGAAGCGTTGTTATCCATTGTTGCGTCCATTCCATGAGTTCCAAAGTCCTGCTCGTGCATTTTCAGAATGCATGATCCGAGACGATCAAACATTTCTTTGAATAGAGGGCTCACTGAATCACACGCGACTGTATAAATGGCCTCAAGGGATTTGGAAAGTTTTTCAGAGGTAACATTTGGAAGTGTTGACACAATGCTTGAAATACGTGTGTGAACATCCTGGAGGTGAAGACATAGAGCAAAGTTTTTCAGTTGAGCTGGAGTCACTGTGCCAGTAACTTGCCGGGCTTCAGTGCCAGTAGAGATCTGCATTGAAGCAAAATATACATCAGCGCCTAGCAGATGCATACAAAAACCAAGACAATGCCTGCAGCCAATTTATGGTCATTTTGCAGTTGTGCACTGCACGACAAGTGTATAAATGAACCCGTGCAGTGCGCGCACATACAAATAAGCAAGTATATCACATAGGAGGAAATGGTGAAAATAGTACTCAGTCGGTAAAACAACCAACAGCAAAGCAAACAATATAATTAGATTGTACGTGCATTTTTGCTCTCCAGCAAAGGCACATTGATCCAACTCTTCTATGCCGTAGATTTTAGAATGGCTTAAACCAGCGAATGTTGTCCATGTTTCATGATCTGCTATTCTGCTTAAGACGTCAGTCGCATTTTCTCATGCAGCAGTGCACTATAGGACATCATTTTTTTCATAATGCAAGTTCTATGCTGTACTCTCTTTACTTCAAATTGAGACAGAAGTTAAGAACACAAATTTTAGTTCACCAAACCAACATGATATCACTATTTTCTTGGAAACAACCAGCAGTCCCCACAAGTACACATTCACTGGGTTAGATTAAGATCTCTCTTATTTCACTCTGCGACCCCCAATAACCACAAAACTAACAAAAAAAACTTCCAGAATTTTATTCATCTCAATGAAAAGGCCAACTTTTATAACTAGAGGAGCTCCTAAGAACAGAATAACACAGGCACCAACAAATGCATTGTACATAGATTGAGGTGAATGAAAAGGTCGACCGAGCAGTGCATATTGAACATAGATTGAGGTCTGTGAGGTGACTGATTAGCTTCACAAACTTAGTCGAGAAAAGAGAACAATCCAATGCACAATAAGGACCTACAGATAGAGCTACAACCATCTGCTAGAAAAAAAAATCTTAAGTTTTTTTAACAGAATAAAATCTACAAAACAGTCAGTGAAACAGGTCATGACGTAAAAGTAACATATACAAGTTTCAAATCAAAATCATCAGAGTTTAGTAGTAGATTTACCATTCCATAAGAATCGCATATGCTAATATTTACATGACAAACTGAGAAAGCATACAAAATCCCTAGGAAAAACTAGAAATAAATAACTTCACTATAAAGTAGCAGGTGAATACCTGATATTCAGCTCTTTGTGCTAGGAGAAGCAAAACTTTTCCAATTTCTTGTAGAACACGAGCAAGCAAATGCCCATGAGTTCTCACAACTTCAACTTCCTCTTGGATGCGAGAAATTAACCTTGATATTTGGTCTTTTGAAGGTATACCACGGCCTGACATGGGAAATATGCTATTGATATAATCAGAGAGGCGACTATGACAAAGAGCCAGAAAGGCTGTCTGGAATATCTCAATGGCTGCAGTCATGTGGTTTTTCCCTACGGGAGTAAGAGCTGGAAGGGTGCCTTTTACATCGGTGTCTCTTAAAATCCTCTCGAGGAGGTTCTCAATCATTGAAAACAATCTTGGGTATCCAAGAGTAAAAATTTCCTTCACAAAGCTTGACGCTGTAAAGGCAGATTTCAGTTGACTTGCAAAGGCCTTAACAATAGCATCCCATACTCTCTCTGTTAACAGAGGATCACCCTCCTGCAATTTTTCTCATTGTCAGTGGGGCAAGAAACAGGAATCGGAACGCATGGTGAGCATGTCAATGCTAAATTTCAAAAAAAAAAAAAAAAGGTGAGCAATATCAAGATATTGGCACACAAGTATAAACTATTGACAGGTAAATATTAGAACGAGGAAAAATTTAGCACTTGATTGTACAGACCATGGAACATCCACACATAAATTTCACACAGCAGGAAGTTATAGGAGATAGAAAGGACTATATGTGTTTACTAGTGTAGTAAGTAATAACTCAGTATATGTTGCAACACTGAGCATCATGAATAGATAGTTCATATTACTTTCCAACTGACATCTTAAAGATAATTCATTATTCTAGAAGACTAGAACTGATATATTATATCTAATCCAAGGCATGCACTTATTTCTACTATCAACTACTTGAAAATGATATATCGTAAGATCCAATTTAGGTTGACAAATTACATTGTGATATATCATGCAAACCTGCCAACTCAAGTGTAAACAATATAGGATCAATAACTAAACATGTAGACTTAGATCAAATTTGTTCCCTGCAAAATAGTTACAGGTATATCGATGTAAATTATTCTGCCTAAGTCTCTCGGCTGCCAACATATCTCATGACTCACAGTCACAGACGAACATCATATTGTCAACAAAATCTTCATATAGTGTCTATTCGATGTTTACCAACTTTAACACATCTTATATTCTAAATTTCATTTCAATTAATTTGCAGCAATAGGATTAGCCCATTGATCAGGTCTCACCTGCCAAACCTCCTCGAGGAACAGCATTTGTGTGAATGGAACACGTTTCTTGGTGAGCACAGTCTGCAGCTGCCATGCGGCCGTGACCGACCGATGCAGCTCCTCCATGCACTGTCTCATCCTATCCCACAGTGCCTCCGCCGCCTTCTTACTGCCACCAATCTGTGGCGTGCCACTCCTCTGCACGCCTCCAGGGCCACCTCCACCCCCTGCAGCCATTGATATAGCCTTCATGTCCAGTGCCACAGCCACACTCTTCGCTCCTGCCGCCTTGTACTTCGCCACGAGCCCTTCCACTGCCGGCTTCAGTTCTCCGAGATTATAGTACACCTGCAGCCCGCACCAGACGTCGTTCTGGTTGGACTCAGCAATGCCGCGATCGATCACAGCGCTGGCCTCCGATCGGAGCTTAGAGGCAGCCGCATCGACCTTGCGCATCTCCTCGTCGACGGCATTGATGCCGGCGAGGTTCTTCTCCTCGTAGAGAAGGCGGATCTCGCGGTGGAGCTCGGCCTGGCGGGCGAGGTCAGGAGGCGGCGTGGAGGTGAGGAGGCGGGAGGAGAGGCGGACGAGGCGGTGGGAGTGGAGCAGGAGGTCGGCGGTGGAGAGGAGGGTGGAGAGGGAGGAGGAGGAGTGCGCGAGGTGTGCGCGCGGCGCGGAGAGATGGGAGGAGAGGAGCGAGAGGTGGGAGGAGAGGAGGTGGAGGTGGGAGGGGAGGGAGGAGAGCGAGGCGGAGGCGGAGCGGAGGGAGAGGAGGTGGGAGAGGAGGAGCGGGTGGCGGCGGAGCACCTCGGCGCGGAGGTGGCGGCGGAGGAGGCGGATGGCCTCCTGCAGCTGCTCGGCGCGGGAGGCGGCGAGGCCCGAGGAGAGCGCGGCGGAGGAGAAGTCGGAGGGGGAGAAGGACGGGGAGAGGAACGCGGAGAGGACCGGGTCGGAGGCGAAGGCGTCGAGCGGGGAGGCGGGATCGGAAGAGGTCGTCGGGGAGGGCGGCGACGGGAAGGAGGAGGAGGCGGCGGCGATGAGGTCCTTGGAGGTCGGCGAGAGGAGTAGCCGCGGCGTCGCTGGCGCGGCCATGGCGCGCGCGGTGGCCGCCGGCGACCGCGGGTGTTGGTGGTGGATCTGAGAAGCGGTGGGAGAGATGGGGTAGAGATCTGAGGAGAGTGGTCTCTCGAACTCGCTGCTTGTTTGGTCGTTTGGATTTGGCTGGAATGGGCCAAATTTTTGGAGTAGCTCGAATTTCCAGCCCATACTAGTAAATGGGCCGATATTGACGACTAAAGAGACAAGGCATTTGATGGGCTGGAAATTGATTTTAGTTTAGGCCCATCTAGTGAGATGGGCCATTTGGCGGGCCTCTTATACAAGGCCTTGATGGGCTGTAAAGTTTGGCCTGCTTGGTTGAACCCATATGCTCCAATCCAACGGACTTGAGGCCTGTTCACTTTGATGAAAAAAAAAACTTACTAAATTTTGATATTACCAAAATTTTAGTATAGTTGTCAAAATTTTAACAATATTTCTTATATAGTTACCAAAATTTGGCAGCAAACTAAATGTAGCCACTGTTTTGGTAACTTTACTAAAAATTGGTAAGATTGCGCGGCTCGGAGATTCCGGTGCTCGTGCTGTGTCGGCTCGGTAGCTTCCGCTATCCGCTCCGGCGGCGGCAGCGAAAACAGGGTGACGCAGGCAACTGCGTGACGATGCCTACGCCGGCGTGATCGCCGTGACATGGCTTGGCCGGTGCGGCTGCGTTGCATGGTCCGAGATCCGAGCGAATGAAGATGCCGGTGATCAGGCGGTGACTGCCATCTCGAGTCAGACTATGATAAGCTTCACGGTTTTGCTACTGGGCGAACGATTGCCCGGGGCGATCAGGGCCGCTCCGCCGCCCCCCCCCCCCCCCCACCACGTGGGTTCTTTTTTTTTTTTGCATCGCATTACTTTCCTATACACCTAAAGTTTAGAGACCCAGAGTTTATAAGTCAAAAGTTTATATATCCGATTCAAATTTGAATTTGAATTCAAATATTTTTTACATACAGTATTTCTATACATCTAAAGTTTATAGGCCTAAAGTTTAAGTCAGAAGTTTATATACCCGTTTCAAATTTGAATTTGAGTTATATCCGATTCAAATTTGAACTTGAATTCAAATATTTTTTATATATAGTACTTCTATACATTTAAAGTTTATAGATCCAAAGTTTATAAGTCAAAAGTTTACATACCCGATTCAAATTTGAATTTGAATTCAAATATTAGTTTATAGGCCCAAAGTTTATAAGTTAAAAGTTTACATACCTGTTTCAAATTTGAATTTAAATTCAAATATTTTTTATATATAGTATTTTCTATACATAAATTTTTCCAACTTTATTTTTTTATTTTTTTTAAATTTATGGTGTAGTAGGAAGAGAAGAAGGGGAGGAGGAAGGGAGGGAGAGTAACGTATAGGAGGATGGGGGGTGATCGCCTGGGGTGGTCACCCGCCCATTAGCCACCCCTTAAGCTTCCCTCTAAGAGCAAGTTTAATAATACAGCCCACTACTAACTTCAAAATTTAAAACATCATTTATAGTCTATCTAATAGCTTACTCATACAATAGTTAGCTGTAGAAATATACTGCATCATGAATGCATAATCCATCCATCTCTCTCACATAGTTAAAAATATTGGAGCTTGTGATGTAGCTGGTTACAAATCTGTAGCCCACTTTTATTCTCTCTCCTCTCATCTCTCCTCCACACAAGCACAAATCTGATGTGGCAACTTATATAGCCCACTTATGTTACCTTAGTAACTACCACGCACCGGCGGCCTCTTCCCTCTATCGAAAAGTTAGGGTTCATCCAAAATCCCCATCTACGAAGAAGAGCCATCAAATTCTCTAAGGAAAATTCCCCATCGGAAGTGATGACCGGCAAAGAGGGTGGGCTCAATCGACGCGTGATCACTGCGGCGACCGAGGAGGAGGATGAGGAGGCGGCATTGGCCAGTGAGAAGATATCAATGAAGGCGTGCTCTGCTCGAGGCACGGCGGCCGAGAAGGCGAGTGAGTCGGTGGCCCCATGAAGAAGTCATCCACCAAGAGGAAGGCGGTGGCCGCTGGCGTTTCTGATGAACAGGAACCTACCGATGCCGATCCCCGTGGTGGCGGTGATCGACGGCGAGAAGATCATGGTCCCGAGTGGGAAGATACTGCTGGCCAACAGGCTGGTTGACAAGATACTGGCCATCAAGAGGACCCTCCACATCGACGATCCTGGAAGAGGAGCCCAACCCTCTGGTGCCGCCGGAGCTGGAGGAGAAGCTCAACGAGGACGCGCGCTTAACGGCCGAGACGCTCTATGCCCGCCAGGACAAGCTTGTCCAGTGCCAGACCATGATCCGGAACCATTGGCCATCGCCACGAGAAGGGCTACACCATGGTCGACAACGACTAAGAGGCCAGGATAGCCATACACGCACCATCACCAGATTGTGTCCACAGCTCCGACAACGATGAGGAAGAAGAGGTGACTGACAAGGTCGATTGATCTTGTAACTTAGGTGGTGTTTGGATCCAACTTTAGTCCCTATCACATCGGATGTTTATACACTAATTTAGATATTAAACATAAACTACTTACAAAACTAATAATTGCATAAATGAGAGCTAATTCGTGAGACAAAATTTTTAAGCCTAATTAATCCATAATTAACACATGTTTAGTGTAGCATCACATAGGCTAATCATTGATTAATTAGACTCAATAGATTCATCTCGCGAATTAATCCAGGGTTATGGAATGGGGTTTGTCATTAGTCTATGTTTAATACTTTTAATTAGTGTCATAACATCTGATGTGACAGGGACTAAATTTTGGCCAATGCAGAGGTGTCTACCAAATCATATCATTAGGCTAAGCATTTGAAAAGCTATAAAATTTAATAAATTATAAAATTATAGATAATATAACATGCTTGCATGATGTTTAAATGTAATAATTATTAGTGAATGATGATGTGGCATCTTTACATGTTAAGCTTTAGTATTTAGTGGGCTCTAACTTATACTAAGAGAGGATTGGAGTTATAAATCATTCCTGGAGTATTGGATTGTAGCCTTGTAGGTCGTTCCTGCAATTTTTATGGGCTAGTGGATTGTAGTTGTAGGTTGATCCTTTAATTTTACTAGATGACGGGGCGCGCCAATGTCGCGCCTCCTGTCTGCAATTTCACTTATTACTCCTGTCGACTATTAGTTCCATTAGTTGTATGGTTGGTTATACGAGAAAAAAAAAAGCATGACAAAAATTAAGGCACATCTTATCAACGACAGGTTCTTAATTTGGTTTTTCATCAGTTATTGGTGAAGCAGTGGAAAGCATCAATATAGGTGTTAAATCAAACAACAATTGTTGCTAATTATTCTAAAAATACGGTATTTTCAGAATGACCTCATTTATATATAAAAAACTATTATGCAATATTGCTATGACGCATATATGCCATTAGAAATTCCATTTGTTCAGTATAAAATGGACACTTAATTACAAACATGGGAGTAACCTTGCTGACTCTTCAATTTTCACACTTTGAGTATAAACACAATATTTCCATGCTTACAAATCATTTGATAGAAAATTAATAGAAAAAAATATTACCCTCACAAATTGCTTGTCTATATTCTATGATCTTCGGTTAGCACCATGAAGGGCAATGCCATAATAATTTATTAGTGAATAGTTCAACTCTTAGAAAGACAAGATCCAAGCGCTCAGCTTTTGGTGACTATGGATAAACCCAGCATGACTTCACCTTTTGAAACCTCTTCAGTAATATGAAATAAGACATTAGTTTCATGAGCATTACATTGGAAAGATAAATTAAACCCTATGCCTTAGTATTCACTTTAGGCAAATTTGCACAAAAATGAAGCCTTGAAAGAACCCTGCTTCCAAGTTAATCAATGTGAGTGATATGTACATGAGGATAGCATCGATGTAACTTTTCAGAGCTGGAAATAATTTAGTGAGCAAAATTTACCCAATGGAAAAAGTCAGTTTTACTCCCCTCAAGTATGACCCTGGAGCAAATAACCCCCTAACCTTTAATTTGGTTTACTTAACCCCCTAGATTCTTAAAACCGGATCACTATTCACCTTTCTAATCTAATACAAACCGCTTTGCTGATGTGGCACATGGATTAGGTGGTTTTGCTTACTAGGTTGGATCTAACGTGGAGAAAGAGAACCTGGGAGATTAATCACACGTCGTATTCTCCTCCATGCGTTGGACTCTTCTCCCTCACAAGTCCTCTCATCATCTCCTCTCTCCCTTCCGACGGCGGAGAATCCAGGTGATGATCGTCTCAGATAGGCGGTGCTGATCCGTGAGATCGCAGCCCCGTGGTGTGTCCCTCCCCCTCCCTCCCTTCCTCCCTCCCTCCTCCCCACTCGATCTTGGCATGCTTTAGGTTTAGGGTTGTTCTAGAAGGGGATAATAAGTGCGTGTGGCAGTTGGTTGATGAAATTTTTTTGGTTGATTTCGTTGGTGGTAGGGCACTACTGAGGGTTAGGTTGTTGCTATCCCTTGCTGTTTTTTTTTCTTGCGAGCTCATTATCCATCGTCAGATGCCGGCGCTCGGCGTGTGCGTCTTGAAGCCGTCGCGAGCGATGGCACATGCACCGCAGGCATCATACCTAGTGGAAATGCTGAAATGGAGCAAATCATTGCCATCGACGATGTAGCATGGGTGGCAGCCGACGCCCGGCGAGGGTGGCTCACTTCATAAGTTGTTGTTCATCAGCTATCTCACTTCATACTGTATAAGGGACTGTTTTTTGGTTGATTTTTATTTTATCTTGGGATGAGTTGTTTAGGATTTGGTAGATAATTGCTGCTTGATTAATGTTTCATTTTTTAAGATAAGTTTACTGATGATCTCATTGTTGCCATGTTAGGTGTAATGGATAATTTGGATGTACTTTGTATCCGGTTTCACTTTGGTGGGGAATTTGATTATGATGGATATTCTGTGGTTTATAATGGTGGTCAAACTGAGATGTCATACATAGAGAGGGACAAGGTGGCATTGCCAGAGATCAGAGGATACCTTGGAGACCATGTTTCACTAAGTGAAGAAGATGAAGTGATTTTCCATTGGTTATTTCCGGGTGCTGAACTAAACAATGGCCTGAAAGCACTATCAGATGATAAGGAATGCTTATATATGGCTCAATGCATAATCATGGGTGATGTAGCTGAAATATATGCTGAAATACTCAAGCACAACGAAGATGATAATGTTGTGCTTAGCAATGGAGTCAGTGATGACAGTGATGTTGAAGATGACATTGAGGAAGAATATGACAGTCATAGTGATGCTGAAGATTCTAGTGAAACAGATGGTATAGCTGAAGATGATGAGGAGAGATCTGAAGATGATGAGGAAGCACAAGAAAATAGAGAGCATGCCAACAAGGTTAAGAAGAATCCATGTGCCACTATTACTGTAACCAGTGACAACGTTGTTCTTGTCAGTGACTCACCAAATAAACAAGATGATAAGGGACTGGATGATGACACTGATACACCATTTCTGGACTCAAGTGAAGAAGCCTCTTATGATGATGCAGAAGATGGTGAAGCAATAAGAAGGAAGAGTAGATTTCCAAAGTATGATAGCAAAGCACACACACCTAAGTTTGAAATAGGCATGACATTTGCAGGAAGAGCAAAGTTTAAGGAAGCAGTAATCAAGTATGGTCTTGTAACCAACAGGCATATCAGATTCCCCAAGGATGAAGCTAAGAAGATCAGAGCTAGATGTTCATGGAAAGATTGTCCATGGTTCATATTTGCCTCAAATGGAACAAACTGTGATTGGTTTCAGGTGAAAACCTTCAATGATGTGCACAATTGCCCTAAGAGAAGAGATAACAGATTGGTTACTAGCCGAAGAATTGCTGATAAGTACGAGCACATCATCAAGTCTAATCCATCATGGAAACTGCAAAGTTTGAAGAAGACAGTGAGGCTGGATATGTTTGCTGATGTGTCCATCTCGAAAGTTAAGAGAGCTAAGGGTATTGTCATGAGAAGGATTTATGATGCATGTAGAGGTGAGTACTCTAAAGTGTTTGAGTACCAAGCAGAAATTCTTAGGAGTAATCCTGGTAGCACGGTGGCTATTTGTTTGGATCATGAATACAATTGGCCGGTTTTCCAGAGAATGTATGTATGTTTTGATGCTTGCAAGAAAGGTTTTTTAGCTGGATGCAGAAAAGTTATAGGACTAGATGGTTGTTTTTTCAAAGGTGCTTGCAATGGTGAGCTGCTATGTGCATTAGGAAGAGACCCCAACAACCAAATGTATCCAATAGCATGGGCAGTAGTCGAGAAAGAGACAAAAGACACTTGGAGTTGGTTTATTGGACTACTTCAAAAAGATCTGAATATTGATCCTCATGGAGCTGGTTGGGTTATTATTTCTGATCAACAAAAGGTAATGCATCCTTGATATCTACTTATTTTTATATGATCAACAAAAATACATGAATATTGATCCTCATGTGTTTCGTTTACCAATGTAGGGACTTGTAAGTGCAGTTGAGGAATTTTTGCCACAAATTGAGCACAGGATGTGCACTAGACACATCTATGCTAATTGGAGGAAGAAGTATAGGGATCAAGCATTCCAGAAGCCATTTTGGAAGTGTGCCAAGGCATCTTGTAGACCATTTTTCAACTTTTGTAGAGCCAAGCTTGCACAGCTAACTCCTGCTGGTGCCAAGGACATGATGAGCACTGAACCTATGCACTGGAGTAGAGCTTGGTTTAGGATAGGGTCCAATTGTGATAGTGTAGACAACAATATGTGTGAGAGCTTCAATAATTGGATAATTGACATCAGGGCACATCCAATCATATCTATGTTTGAGGGCATAAGGACCAAGGTTTATGTCAGGATACAACAGAACAGGAGCAAAGCAAAAGGATGGCTAGGTAGGATATGTCCAAATATCTTGAAGAAGTTGAACAAGTACATTGACTTATCTGGAAACTGTGAAGCCATTTGGAATGGAAAAGATGGATTTGAGGTCACTGATAAGGATAAGAGATACACAGTTGACCTTGAGAAGAGAACATGTTCCTGTAGGTATTGGCAATTGGCAGGTATTCCTTGTGCACATGCTATTACTGCATTATTTGTGAGCTCAAAGCAACCTGAAGATTACATAGCAGATTGCTACAGTGTTGAGGTGTATAACAAAATATATGACCATTGCATGATGCCAATGGAGGGTATGATGCAGTGGCCAATTACTGGTCATCCAAAGCCAGGACCACCAGGTTATGTCAAGATGCCAGGAAGGCCACGGAAAGAGAGGAGGAGGGATCCATTGGAAGCAAAAAAAGGGAAGAAGTTATCCAAAACTGGCACTAAAGGAAGATGTAGCCAGTGCAAGCAAACTACCCATAACATTAGAACATGTCCGATGAAAGGAAATTCAGGAAAAAAGATATCAGTACAAGAGAGAGCAAGAGAGGCAAGTAATTTACATGCTACATATATAAGTGGTTGAGTATTGACATATGTGATTCTGATCTCTACATTGAATGCAGGTTCAGGAATGTAGCAGGCCGCAGAAAAGGTTTAGGCCATCTGTAGCTGCAGGAACTTCGCAGCAAAAAGTTCATGTAAGTTGCAACTACATTGCAGACTATATTCCATCACAATAAAGGTGCCCAAAATATATGATCTTTTTTTTCATGTAAGGTGCAGATTGATTTGCCATCCCAGAGCAGCAGCTTGTCAATAACAAAGAAGGGACAAACGATGAAAGTTGCAAGAACAAACACAACAAAGAAGTGAAGATTTGGTTGCATATGGCGTGTTGTTTTTATGGAATACTTTACATATTTTTCAATAAAGTACTTGTCAAATATTTGGTGGAAATGGTAGGTGTAATGTAAGGTAGATTGAGTTTAAGTTATTGAATCTGGTTAGGGTGAACAAATTTTGGTATTACCTTTCAGTCTAACTTGTTATAAATAGTCTGAATGTCAACTCGTTAATTTAGCATGTAGGCTGGTGTGCTTCCTTGCTCCTGCTACCTTGCTGCTATCTTCCAGTAGTCTCAAAACTGACATATGAAAAATCCTCACGTCATCACTTTCCACGTCAAGTGCAAATTTCCTTGTAGCCTCATCACCTGGCAAGTAAAACCTGGCTACAAGTGAAAATTCTCCACGTTGGATCCAACCTAGTAAGCAAAACCACCTAATCCATGTGCCACATCAGCAAAGCGGTTTGCATTAAATTAGAAAGGTGAATAGTGATCCGGTTTTGGGAACCTAGGGGGTTAAGTAAACCAAATTAAAGGTTAGGGGGTTATTTGCTCCAGGGTCATACTTGAGGGGAGTAAAACGGACTTTTTCCTTACCCAATTTACAATATACTACTATGGATGAACCAAAAACTTATGGAGCAAACGGAATCCTTACACACGATCAAGGAACTGACTCTCTCATGCATCCATGACAAAGAAAAACTCATCAAAAGGCAAGCCTAGGACGTCTGACACTTGAACCAATGCATCCATGAGGGAATATTTTTGCTTTTACGGTTCATGCCTGTGTATATTAGCTACCACATCCCAAATGCTCAAGGCAGTTCTAATGCCCTGAACTCCCATAGTTGATTAGTCGTGTCTATCCTATTTAGGTCCAACATCTATAAAGCCATTCTTGTCCTCATCAACATACTTAATTTATATATCAATTATCAAAAGATTAAATCTTTACTACCTGGACAGACTATCATGAATCACAGTTCCTCAAAAATGCAAAGAGGATGTAGTGTTCAATGCCTGACTCTAGTTTCATAGTACTATTGTTTCTTGATTGAAAGAGGATGTGCAAGCTGCAAGGCAAGAAACCAATACAACAACATCAGAGCTTATCAAGATGAAGTAAACAACGCAATACTTTAATGGTACAATACATACTACTTGGTAAAAGTGAATTGAAAGTTAAAGAGAAGCTGCCAATAGCATCTAAATGGTCAGAGTGTTCAAACTCTATACTTGGCAAGAATAGTGAAGACAGCTTAGGCCAACAGACACTAATAAGCATGGTCATAGGCTCATAGCATGGTTGGATTGGAAAACTTTTAACTATGGAGTCGTGCACTCCACATATCCGAGAAAGCTAATTAAGTAGCATTCAGAAAGAGATGGCAATATACTGAACTGGGCGAGCAAACCCAATGCATTTGAATTGACTATTCATTGATGCAAATAGGAGGCATTGTCTAGACAAAGCTTTTTCAGAATTAGTAAATTGCTCATAACTTTATCTGTCATGCAAAATACATTTAAATCAATCATCATTATGTTAAAATATTATAAACATGCAGAAAACTTGTCCTTGTACATTGTTGAGTACTGTGAATATCTGAGTCTGATGACATATGTGTGGAGAAATATCCTTGTAAGAGCGGTCCTTTCTAACTACAGTGATGCCACACTGGCCGCATTAATAGTAACAGCGATTGGGGGTAATAACAGAGAGTCGTATCTATCCAGCCATCACTCCTTAGGCTTAGAGCAGGTACAATAGCAGGCTATAAGCCAGCTGCAAACATATTTTAAGGAGATAAATGAGGAGAAAGAAGTGCAGCGGGCTACAGATTTGTAGCCAGCTGTAGCACGGACTCCAAGACATAGTGTGTGTATGACAGGTGGGACCAGGTACTAATAGTGTAGTATATAACTATTGTATGAATGAGCTATTAGATTGGCTATAGATGAATTGGAGCTATTAGTTGGCTATACTATTGAACTTGCTCTTAGTTCGGCAGCATGGGTTCCCAACCCATGTCCCTCGTATTCCACGTGCACGCTTTTCAAACTATTGAACGGTGTATTTTTTGCAAAAAGTTTCTATACGAAAGTTGCTTAAAAAATCATATTGATCCATTTTTAGAAAAAAAACAACAAATACTTAATTAATCACGTGCTAATGGACTGCTCCGTTTTCCATGCACGGGAGAAATATTCCCAACTACCAGCAGCGAACACAGCCTTAGTGGGCTATAAGAAATCATCTATATTTTCGACAGCAAATAATATGCTATTTTGAGCTCATAGCTAGTAATTCGGTTTTAAAAGACAGATAGCTGAATATAATTACGGAAACTACAGATAGCAGAAGGCCTGGATGAGTAAAATACAAATAAAAAGCTATACCTCACCATAGAGAATCATGGTAGGGAAAGGGAAGAAAAAAATCCTGCAGACAAATATACACCCATATTAGCATACAACCCATAATTGAGCATACTAACCATTCAATGATCTACCAGATAAGAGCATTAAAAATGGCATGTAGATAGTAGAGTATCGAAGCAAATTAGATCTTCCTTCATAGAAATCGTCCATTTAACTGAAAGTCTAGTTCTATTAGTGCCAAACCTTAGTTGTCTACAAACTACATGAAGAATCAAGACCGACAACCGACAAGTGAGGCTCCTAATAATACATCCTCATTAACATATTTTTGTGGAATAGGACTGAAATGTCACCATCCTTCATGGTCAAGAAGCCCTTGAATATTTGAAAAAACAATGAGGTTCTTTGAGCTTGCTGTAAAAAAATGCACCAAATAAAATAAAGCAGGACTAACAGATGAACCAATTGCACAGCCATGAAGGAACATTATAGGACATGATATACACGCATTATCAATAATCACACTATTCAAATGCTCACCTGCAATTCCCTCTTCCGATCAACCACCAAGTCTGTATTTGGGCCATACAAATGAACAGTCACAGAAGACTTGTTGCCCTTGCCATCTTCTGCGGAGACCTTCAGCACTGCAAGCAGTAAATTACAGTTGTGGTTTCCACTAAGTTTGCGGTAAATTGGTAGTAGTTTCAGTGACAGAAGGTTATATAATTTTCTATAGAAAACAACATAAGATAAGATGATTTAGGCATAAAAAAAGCAAGAAAGAAATGGTAAAAGAGTTTCCTGATCTCACAAAACTTCATAAATGTTCAGAATTCAGAAATGCAATCAGGTTCTGGTAATAGCCATAATGTTATGTCTGCCGCTATCCAAATTGCTTTAAAATGTGCCTAAAAACAATTTTCCCTTGTTTGAGCAGCAGCCTGGCCTCTGTTTAAACCCACCACCCACCAGGTTAACTAAGAACCCTCCCACATGCTAAATTTGCACCATCATGCTACAGAAATGTAATGGTATAGCTCCCCTGTCCTCCTATGAAGACCATGCGTGTGATATACATATATTAGGCAAAGAGAGCACAAACACAAGAAATAACTTAAATCAATGCCATGCAAAGTTTTGCAACATGGACATTAAATAAGTGAAGGACTGAAGGCTCAGAATCAATCGTGATAACATATGATTTTTGCCTCATGGATAGTTCATGTGGTTGCAGACCAAATTGTTGTCGTGATTAACTACAAAATGCAAGTGCCAATAAAATTTGTTGAATTAGCCGATTGACAAACACTTAACAGAAGTATAACTCATAAACTGGGAGAAAGTATTTTACAGAAGTCGCTAAAGCATGCATAATCACAAAATTCTATAAAATAACAATAATCTAAAAATCAGATATTATATATCCGTCAAAAGGAATAAAAATGGCATGTAAACAACATATTAGCATAAGTCCATGCTGAAATTCAAAACCCATATTCACTGTTTTTAGAGCTTACCAGAAGACCAAAGCAAAGAAATTTAAGTGAGGGAAAAAAACAGCACAGGTGTCTCAGTTGTAGTTATCAGGATTCATAAAAAGCAGGGACCTATATGTTTTCTCCGCCTCCTCAAAGCGGCCAACTTTCAACAAAATGCAGGACATTTGTTCTTTGAATGATAGCTTGTCAACCCAGAAGAAAAAAAAATTATGTGCGCCCATCTGTCTGAGTAATATTTTCCTCTTTACATGATTGAAAAATATAAGACTTACAATTTTGCTCTCCTTCTTCTGCATCTCTTCAAGAGGTCTTCCAGCATTACGCATTCCTCGAACAATGAAATTTGTGGAACATCAATAGCTTTACATGACAAGTAAAGATGAAGCGATTATTCAAAATAACACAAATTTTTTTCACTTTCTAGTTTCCAGAGCATGAAAATAAAAGTGATGGCATAAAATCAGAACATAAGTAAAAAAAATCATTCAGAAAGTTAGATTGCTTGAAGAAGAGATAGCCAGCAGCAAGTTTTCAACTAATATGAGAAGAGAGTGAATATAAATCATCATTCAAGCACTTCATATTTACAGACAGCATTATGCAATACGCGGCACATAAGTTCTATCGTAACCTTATGCCCAGCATGTAACATATCATGACTTATGTCATCCTTGGAAAAATTGAAAGATGGGTGAAGGGCACCAGCATGCATCTAATGCACCAAAAGAAGCAACAAGAAAAACGGCACTTTTTTCGACATCTACAGCTGTATGTCCTTTTTAATTCGGAGAACCAAGAGAGCAGATTAGGCTGCAGTATTTACTATCTACTATATTGATTACACATACATACAACCAGATTTATCATTTGTGATTTGTTCCCAGATGCATATTTTTAACTCGTAGAAGTAATTAATCTATGTATAGAACACCACCTTATTTCTATTTCAGGAGGGATTATGACCCTATACACATAACTAAATATATGCAGTTTTAAAGAGAGAGTTGGCGCTAGGACCCGCAGTGGCTGGAGTCGTCTACGTCGTCCTGCGAGTACAACTCGATGATCTCCGACAGGTCGGCGGCGGCTGATTCATCGTCATCGTCGTAGCCCAACATCCCCTTGTTCCCGGCCGCCTGCAGCCACAGCAGCACGTCCAATGCGACCGCCACCGCACCGCTGCGGGCCCGCTGCCCGGCCGCCGCGAGGAGGCGCCGTGTCACGCCCAGAAATTTAGCCCTAAATTTCCAGACTATTTTGTATATTAAATCCCTATCCAGGACCAGCCAGGGTACACAAAACGACAAGTAATATACAGTTCCAAACGTAAATAAAGCGTAAAATACTTACAGAAGAGGCACTTAGCTCTCACACTAAAAGAGAACGACAGTAGCGGAAAAAGGCGATCCTAGCGGGGCTTCAGCTCCACTCCACAGGCAAAACTCAACTGGGGTCTGAGCATTGGTCTTCTAACTTCGTCTTCAGCTCAGAAGCACTACCGTACTCAGCAAGCCACACCAATGATGCAGACGTGCAAGGGGATACAAAAAGGGGTTTGAGGCTATTTGCATAAAGGCAGTTGTAAAATATTTTATTGAGCAAAACAGTAAAACAGTTGAGTAATTAAAGTAACATTAAATCTCCACTGATCAACGCTACACCACGTTGAACAGGCCCAACCAACCCACCTGAACTACAGTGCATTGGGTCAATTTATTAAGGTGGGACTAATCACGGTGAATCTGGTCGACCGCCCATAACCGTGGGCACGGCTATTCGAATAGTTTTACTCTGATCAGAGGTGTACAACTGTACCCACAAGACACAGCCCCACGACACGTTTTCGTGCGCCGACATGCCACCACGACATATCGGAAAGAGACTGTGACAGGACCCTTCGCATAACCCCCTCTAGCCAAGCACACCACACCTCAGGTTTCACCCCCGTCCCCAGCGGGCAACGGGCAGTCCCCTCTCGTGCCTAGGTGAATCCGGAAGCGACAGAGGCCGTCGCAGGGCCCGCCCCGCTCCATCACGCCCACCCTTGCCTGGATGCGTCAGCTAGAGGAAAGCTACATTACAAGCCCAGCCGTTGCCCACGCTGGCTTGTGGTAAGCATGATAAATTCTTCCAGGGTTTCCCGCGAACCGGTCCTTAATTGCCATGGGTGCGACTAGCAAAACCATGCACCCACAGCCCACCATTCAGTCGCATTTTAGTGGGATAATTACGACCATGAAGCATGGCCAGATGTCTCGAGCACGCAGCTCATTCTGATACTAAAAAGGTCTAATACTGTAATTATCCCATCAACTGAGCTAGTGGTAATTAAGCATGGCTAAGCATATAGTTCTAGCTAGGTCAAATAAGTAATATGAGTTAGTCGATTTATTGCTCCCGGTTGACAAAGGACAGATATCAAGTAAACATGGCACAAGCGAGCAGACAGGTAATACCCGGATTCCATGTAATTAGCAAAACATGCATATTTATTTGCAAACGGTAAAACATTTATAAATTGGGATCAACATGCTCAAGGGGAATGTGTGACTTGCCTCGCTTCTTCACTTTGATCTTCCGAACTCTTTTCCTCGCGACCGCGGACTTCCGAAACGACAGGAACTACACGCTGGCACGCAAAACGAGGAAAAACTCTAATAAAAACCAAGAAAACAGTACATCAAAAGTAAACAAACATGTAGAGCTCAATTTTAGATGAATTTTGCAAGTTGAATGGCTCAATTTGGAGTTCGAATGAATTAGATATGAATTTTAGAAGTTTTGAGCCATTTAAATGAATTTCTAAAATTATTCACGAATTATTGCGTAATTATTATTTATTTTCTCAAAGGAAAAGGATGTGCTGACGTCAGCAAAGGGCTGGCGCCGACAGGCGGGCCCCACTCGTCCGCGGCACAAGGGGCAGGCACACGGTGGACTCAATCCACCGTGGCCGAGGCGGCACCGTGGACCCGGACCACGGAAGTGGTCCACGGGACCGACGGCCTGGATCGGCCCAAAGCCGATCCAACGGTCACGGGCGGCGCGGTAGGGGCAAGGCACGGCCCAAAGCCGGCTGGCCGAACGACGGCGCGCGGCGGCGCGGCCACCGGCGGCGACGGCCGGTGACGGCACACGCGGGCGACGGCAGCGCACGCGAGAGAGCGGAGACGCGGCGCGGCAAGGGGAGCGGCAGCGCACGTGGGCGGCGGCGGCGCGCGCGGCCGGCGAAGAGGAGGGGGAGGAAGGAGGGGTTCTTACCGGGGTAGCGGCCGGAGCGGTGGGAGGCGACGACGACGGCGATGGCCCGGCGACGTTCCGCGAGCGGGAAACGGCAGTCGATGGTCGAAGGGACCTTGGGAAGGAAATGAAGAGGTTAGGAGAGGGTAGGGAGTTGCGGTGCGGCGGGAAACGCCGGCCGAAATGACGACGGAGCTCACCGGGAGGCATGGGGAGATGAGTCCGGCGACGACCGGCGAACACGGAGGGATTGCTGAGCCACGGACGATGGCTGCGGTACCGGGGAGGGCAACGACACAACACGGGGCGGACTGAAGAAGCGACGCGGCGCGACCGGAGGCAGAAATGGCGACGATGGCTTTGGTTGGTAATGGGGAGGGCGGCTCGGTAGTGGATTAGAGGAACGAGTCGATGGCCGGTGCTCGGCTTGGAGCGGCGAAGCCGACAGTGGCGGTGGCGCGGTTTGGCGGTGGCTAGCGTGGCGAGGAGAGGCGGCCGGAGTTCGGAGGCAAGCGGCGGAGAGAGGTTACACGGTGGGGAGGTGGTTCCGATGGCGTTTGGAGGGAACCGAGTGGAGGCCGGCGTGCTGCGCAGGACGGCGAAGCTGATGGCACACGCGGTGAGGCGCGGCGACGGCGGGAGCAGCGGCGGCGCGCGGCTGGAGATCGCCGGCGAGCGGCGGCGATGGGGATCGGCGTGGAGAGCTCGGTAGAGGGCGTGGGGACTCGGGAAAATGGGGAAAAAGGAAGAGGAGGCCACGGGGATTGATTTTATAGCTCAAGGGGGCGAGGAGAGGGCCGGGGAGCGGCGGATTTCGAGGGGGAAGTGGGGCGGCGTCGTGGGGGTGGTGGCGGCGGTTTTTCGCGGGACGGAGTGGGGGAGGGGAGCGGGGTCGTGGGCGGCGAGGTCCCACGGTCGGGCGGGAGCGGTGCAGGGTGGAGGAGGTGGGCGGGGAAAGCGGCGACGTGAGGCGGCTCGGGCGGCCATGGCGGTTGCCGGCCTGGGAGGCCGAAGGTTGGGGATGACAGGTGGGGTCCACGGGTCCCACCTGTCGGAGAGAGAGGGAGGGAGAGGCTGGCTGGGGAGACGGAACAGACTTGAGGGAGAGAGAGAGCCGAGCGGGCCGAGGGAGGAGGCCGGCCCGAGAGGGAGAGAAAGGGGGCGCGCGGGCCGCGGGAGAGAAGGAAGACTTGGGCCGAAAATGGCCCAAAGAGAGGAAGGGGGATTTTCTTTGTTTTCTTTTTTATTTTAATTGATTCAATGATCTTTGTGCTATTAAAATTATTTCTCGAGCTCCGAAAATTTGCGAGAAATTTCAGAGAGTATTTTAGGGCACAAAGAATATTACAAAATATTCTCGGCCAATGATTTTTAAAGGAAATTTTAAATTCCCTCATTATTTCACTTGATTAAATTGCTTTAACTTTTATTTAGTTTATAGAAAATGCATTATTAAATGATTTTTAATCCCGACCGAAAATCGGGGCGTCACACGCTGCACCAGCCCGGCCTCAAGCACGGCCGGATCGACATGGAACAAGCTCCTCTCTCGCTTCGTCGTCCCCACCACCACCCAAATCACATCCGTGGCCGTGGACACGGAGGCGGAGGAGCCGAGGCGCCGGTACCCGCCGCGGCGGGATGCGGAACGGACGAAGGTGTAGCAGCCGGCGGAGGATGGACGCGGCGACGGGGCTCCTCCTCCTCCTCGTCGTCGCGGTCGCCGGGCGCGGCGGCGTGGCTCCTGATGCTAGAATATGAGCCGTCAGCTCTTTGCGCCCCCTGTGGCGTGGTCGTCAGAGCTCCGACCCCGTCGCTGATGGAGGCTGCGCCCGCCTTCACCGCCGCTCGGCGGAGACGGCTGCGCTCGGCAACAGCGCGAGGCGGAGGCGGAGGAGCTCCGACACTGCGACGCGACAGCGGTGGAGGAGGAGGTGGAGGCGGAGGCGGAGGCGGAGGCAGCGGCGATGGCGTGATGGCGACGGGAGTCCTCGTCACATCCAGCGGCGAGAGGACACCAGCTTACGGGCTTCCTTCGACCACGGTGGTGGCGGACGGTGCCGGATCCGGTAGCTGATGAAGGGGGTCGTGGCGGGGGCCGGCGACCGACGGTGGTAGCGCGAGGTGGAGGCGAAGGCAGAGGCGGAGGAGGCGAAGGCGCGAAGCGACGGGGATGACGACGGCGGCGCGCGCGGCTCTCGGCAGCGGGGCGCGAAGCGACGGGGACGACGATGGCGGCGGAGGGAGACGGTGGTGGCGGCGCGCGCGGATCGCGGCGGCGGGGGCACGCCCCAGCGGCCGCCCAGGGCGCCGCCCTTTATAGTCTCTAATTTTTTTTTTTGGAGCGGGTTGTAGGTTGTTCCCGGTACTCTTTGGATGGAACACGCTGATCACCAGTTATAACTGTTCCAATACACGTTATAATGGCCTTTACAAGCGAGCCCTTGATGGGCCGAAATATTAGTTTAATTTCCAGGCCGATCCACAGAGATGGGCCGTCATTCCGGGCCTCCAATTTGTTGGATGAGAGTGAGCCGGGCCAGATCCTGGCCGTCTGCTCCTATCCGACGGCCTGGAGTAGCGGTTGCGGAGATTCCGGTGCTCGGTCGCCTCCGCTCTCCGCTCCGGCGGCGAAAACCCGGTGCCGGCCGCCGCACGCCGGCAGCCATGTTCTCTCCTACAAGGGCCGTACGCGTTCTGGAACCAAGGCTCCTCGGAGCGGAGGAAGCCGGATCTCCGCGGTCGGCGCAAGGCACGGCGCGGCAGCCATGGCTCCACAGCCTCCACCTGCAACTGTAAGCTTTACTTTACTTTTTTTTTGACCCTGCCAGTAGCTTAGAGCATTCTAGAGGTAAAGTTTTTCTTCTCTCTTTTTTGTTTTTTTTAATGGGTGGTGGTGGTGGTGGTGGTGGGTGTATGCGTGGATCGGTCTAGCAATATTGTATTCTTGTTGAAGCTTTAATCACAAGAAATTCGGCCATACAGTAGAGTTTTGGGTCGATTCCACAACGGACACCTTTTCCGGTAGAGAATGATAACCCTATTCATACACCGCGGTGATAACAACTGCTGTTAAGGGTGTTACCTTTTATTTTATTTATTTATTTCCTTTTTGAAAAGAAGATCCATATTAGTTCTTTAGTTGCAATTATGCGTGTTATACTTTAGCTTGCCTTTTCCCCCTCCATTCTTGATGCGAAGATGCGCGAACCTTTGCCACCTTCTCTAATAAAGTAATATGTGTGTCATACTGTCATTTTTTATATTGACGCTGTTTAGCTGAAAGATGAAACTACCTCGAAGTTTCATCGTGTTGCTGCTAAGGAGATGTTTCAGTGGAGGGGGATTCTGCTATTACTGGGTTTATGCAATGATTTATAATTCCGGCGAATGATCATTTCTCTTTTGCATAAACCCAACGAACATTCACTGTGATTGCAGCATAAACCCTGGGAACGTCCGCTGGGGCTTTGACATACATGACTTACAATGTACCTCATAGTTGATTCTGTGTTGCATTGGCTTTTACTGTTTTACATTTTGCAATTTTAACTGAAAAAATGCAATGCTATCAATTCTTTGGGTACATGAGTTGGTGTATATGTTCTGTTCATGAACAATTTGGGATATGAAGCACGAATTCAGACACATATGGATAATAGGACACCGCTTTAATGTTATTTTTTTAAAAAATGAAATTCTGGGAGCTTTGGACTTCATCAAAGGAGGTGCCGATCATAGGACTATAGCCTGTCTGCCTGTGCGGACAATATTTACATGTTTGTTCTTTACCTGTTGATCTATGCGTAAATTTTAAAATATAACATGATTATTTGAAATTCACAAGGCGTCACCTAGCATGATGGATGCAATCTTTTTTTTTTCTTCTAATTCTTCAACGAACCACATATTGTCCTCCCTCTTTATGTGCCCCTTACACCAACTTGTTATGTACTGTGTCTTTCCTCCTCCTGTAGATTCTAAATACTAGACCTTCTGCCGACTCTCCACTGCTCTCTCATCTCTTCCGTTTTGTCCATATTCCTTTAAACTCTGAGCTTGGAGCCATGGCTGAGCTACTCTCAGCTCTTCTACCTGCCCTTCTGAAGAAAGCTGGCGAGTCTCTCTCCACAGAGTTTAGTTTCATTGGGGGTATTGAACACCGGCGTTCAGAGCTGTATACCTTGCTGCTTGCCATCAACCAAGTGATCTATGGTGCCGAGGAGCAGGCATCCAAGAAGCCTGCTGTGAAGTCCTGGATCACCAAGCTGAAGCTGGCTGCCTGTGATGCTGATGATGCCCTCGATGAGCTGCACTACGAGGCGCTTCGCAGCGAGGCACTCCGTCGTGGGCATAAAATCAACAGTGGCGTAAGGGCTTTCTTCTCTTCTCATTATAATCCTTTACTGTTCAAGTATAGGATAGGAAAGAAACTCCAGCAGATAGTTGAACAGATTGATCAGCTTGTTTCGCAAATGAATCAATTTGGGTTCCTAAATTGCCCCATGCCAGAGGATGAGAGGATGCAGACCTATTCCTACGTCGACGAGCAGGAAGTTATTGGAAGGGACAAAGAAAGAGATGAAATCATCCATATGCTTCTAAGTGCCAAGAGTGACAAATTGCTAATACTTCCTATTGTTGGGATAGGAGGATTGGGCAAGACAACTCTTGCACAGCTGGTCTTCAATGACGTGAAAGTGAAAGCACATTTTCAAAAGCATATGTGGGTTTGTGTCTCAGAGAACTTCAGTGTTCCTGATATTGTCAAGGGGATAATTGACACTGCAATTGGGAATGATTGTGGACTGAAGAGTGATAACCTGGAATTGCTACAACAACGTCTCCGGGAAGAACTGAGCCAAAAGAGGTACCTCCTTGTACTAGATGATGTTTGGAATGAAGATGAACAAAAATGGGAGGCTCTAAGAACATTGCTTTGTTCCTGTAAAATGGGAAGTGCGGTGGTTGTCACTACCCGAAATTCGAATGTTGCGTCAGTCATGGGGACAGTTCCTCCATTGGCTCTAGAACAACTTAGCCAAGAAGATTCCTGGACTCTATTCTGTGAAAGAGCGTTCCGTACAGGTGTGGCCAAGTCTTGTGAGTTTGTCGAGATTGGTACAAAAATTGTTCAAAAATGTTCTGGAGTCCCATTAGCAATAAATAGTATGGGAGGCCTGCTGAGTAGAAAACATAGTGTAAGGGATTGGCTGGCGATCCTTCAAAACAATACTTGGGAGGAAAATAACATACTGACAGTCCTATCATTGAGCTACAAACATCTACCTTCTTTTATGAAACAGTGCTTTGCTTTTTGTGCTGTATTCCCAAAGGACTACGAGATTGATAAGGATGATCTAATACATCTGTGGATATCAAATGGATTCATTCCATCTAAAGAGACCTCGGACATAGAAGAAACTGGGAACAAGGTTTTTCTGGAGCTTCTTTGGAGATCATTTTTCCAAAATGCGAAGCAAACTCGGTCCCGCAAGGAAGAGTACATATATGGGTACAAAGATGTAACTACATGCAAAATTCATGATCTTATGCATGATCTTGCAGTTTCTATAAGCGGGGATGAGTGCTATACTTTGCAAAATCTTGTTGAAATAAATAAAATGCCGAAGAATGTCCATCATCTAGTTTTCCCACATCCACACAAGATTGGTTTCGTGATGCAGCGTTGTCCAATTATCCGAAGTCTATTTAGTTTACATAAGAATCATATGAATTCTATGAAGGACGTCAGATTCATGGTGTCCCCTTGTAGAGCGCTTGGGCTTCATATCTGTGACAATGAAAGATTCTCAGTTGAACCAGCATATATGAAGCACTTGCGGTATCTTGATTTATCCTCTAGCGACATAAAAACACTCCCTGAAGCGGTCAGTGCACTGTACAATTTACAAATACTAATGCTCAATAGATGCAGGGGCCTGACTCACCTGCCTGACGGCATGAAATTTATGATCAGCCTTCGCCATGTGTACCTTGATGGTTGTTCTAGTCTACAAAGGATGCCGCCGGGTCTAGGGCAGCTCAGCAGTTTACGAACATTGACAATGTATATGGTTGGCAATGAATCTGATTGTAGACTTCATGAACTCAAGGACTTAGAACTTGGGGGCAAGCTACAAATACATAATTTGCTGAAGGTAACAAATCCGTTACAAGCAAAAGAAGCCAACCTTGAGAATAAGAAAAATCTGCAGCAACTAGCACTTTGTTGGGACTCACGAAATTTCACCTGTTCACATTGTCATTCTGCAGATGAATATTTGCAATTATGCCGTCCTGAAGAAGTGCTGGATGCTCTTAAGCCTCCCAACGGATTAAAAGTTCTAAAGCTAAGGCAATATATGGGCTCCAACTTTCCAATGTGGATGGAAGATGGTGTGACACTGCAAAATATTGTTAAACTCAGTTTGAGAGGCTCTGTAATGTGTGTCAAACTCCCACCAGTGTGGCAGCTTCCCTTTCTTGAAGTTCTCCGTCTCAAACGAATGGAGAGGTTGAAATACTTGTGTTACAGGTACCCCACTGATGAAGAATATGGCAACCAATTAGTGGTATTTCAAAAATTAAAATTATTGTCACTAGAATGGATGGAATCCTTAGAGAACTGGCATGAATATGACACTCAACAAGTGACATCAGTTACTTTTCCAAAGCTGGACGCCATGGAAATTATAGACTGCCCAAAACTGACAGCACTGCCTAATGTTCCGATTCTTAAGTCTTTAAGTTTGACAGGAAACAAAGTACTGCTGGGGTTAGTGTCAGGTATTAGTAATCTATCATATCTGTATCTCGGTGCAAGTCAAGGGAGTTCACGGAGGGTAAGAACACTATACTATATCTATAATGGAGAACGTGAAGGAAGCACTGATACAAAGGATGAGCATATTTTGCCCGATCACTTGTTGTCATGGGGTTCACTCACTAAACTACACCTACAAGGATTCAATACACCAGCACCAGAAAATGTGAAGAGTATAAGTGGTCACATGATGTCTGTGCAAGACTTAGTCCTGTCTTCTTGTGATTGCTTCATCCAACATGAAGGATTACAGTCACCACTATGGTTCTGGATATCATTTGGATGCCTACAACAATTAGAAATCTGGTACTGTGATAGCCTCACCTTTTGGCCAGAGGAGGAGTTCCGAAGCTTGACTTCTTTAGAAAAACTCTTCATTGTAGATTGCAAAAACTTCACGGGTGTACCACCTGACCGACTGTCAGCAAGGCCCTCTACAGATGGAGGCCCATGTAATTTGGAATACTTACAGATTGATCGCTGCCCCAACTTAGTGGTATTCCCTACAAACTTCATCTGCCTACGGATCCTTGTGATAACTGACAGTAATGTACTTGAGGGCCTGCCTGGAGGATTTGGTTGCCAGGGCACTCTAACAACTCTCGTAATTTTGGGTTGCCCAAGTTTTAGCTCCCTGCCTGCCAGCATTCGGTGTCTTTCAAATCTGAAAAGCCTAGAACTGACAAGTAATAACAGCTTAACCTCCTTGCCTGAAGGGATGCAGAATCTAACTGCTCTCAAAACACTACATTTTATTAAATGTCCTGGTATAACCGCTTTACCAGAAGGTCTCCAGCAAAGACTGCATGGCCTCCAAACGTTCACCGTTGAAGATTGCCCTGCTCTGGCGAGGAGATGCAGACGTGGGGGAGATTATTGGGAGAAAGTCAAGGACATTCCTGATTTACGAGTGACAAGTGAGCCGCGCCCTGTCTGGCAAGATGCAGCCAGAACCATCATTCCCAAATGCATGAACGCTTGGCAAAGAAGAGCATCAAGTTCTGGGCAGCCAGACAATTAATTTATACTACAAAGGTGCACACTGTTGTCCCTCGTTCTCTCTTTCTTACCCTTGCCTTGCTCTGTTCGATTAAGCAAGTTTGAGTCTTACTTACCTGGGAGCTACGAAACCATTTGTTGCTGCTTTTATCAAGTCAGACATTGTTTAATCGAATGAATTGCATCACTCTGTTTGGAGGAACTTTGGCATCATTCCTCTCATGTTCAGAAATTTTGCAGGTATCTACGCTGAAACATTGTTGGCAACAGGCTCCTTCATGCAGAATGTGTCTTAAAGTGAATGAAATGCATTGCATTTCTCTGCTCGCAACGTATATATGAACCTGCTGGGATCAAGGCCTCTTTGTAACAGTGTACAAACTGTGATATACTGATATTGATTGGAGTTCCACTGCTCAACACTGATTGTGTTATTTCGAGGAATTCCCTCTTTCTAAATATACTGTGATATACCGATATTGATCGGAGTTGCTAAATACTCCCTCCATATTTTAATGTATGACGCCGTTGACTTTTTGACAAACGTTTAGCCTTTCGTCTTATTCAAAAAATTTATGTAATTATAATTTATTTTATTGTGACTTGAGTTATCATCAAATGTTCTTTAAGCATGACATAAGTATTTTTATATTTGCATAAAATTTTTGAATAAGACGAGTGGTCAAACGTTGGTTAAAAAGTCAACGGCGTCATACATTAAAATATGGAGGGAGTATATTTCTACCTCTGACCCAAAGGATATGGGGTTCTGTGTAGCATCTGATAAACAATAGGTGGTGCATACTTCTTTCCACCAAGTGAACCAAACAAAGGTGTGCTCCCTGATACATTTTTTTATAATTTCCCCCAATATATTTCCCTAGAGTTATCGTAATTTTGTTTATATGCATCCATTTTCAGCATATTCAGGTATGCCAGTGTTTGTGGATTCATCCTGCTTCTGAATCTTGTGCTGTTTCTTAGATCTGGAGACCTGGAGTTCTGAAGACTTACCATGAATCTTTCGCTGGGGACCTGGAGCTGGAGCCGTGCAAGGCCGAGTTCGTGAGGGGGCTACGCTATGATTCGCTGCTTCTCGCAGGCCATGACCGACGCCGTGGTGCGCAACGCCCACGTGAATGCTACGGCCGGGGTCTTTACTATAGTGGAATTTTACAGTTCTTGAGAAAGTACCTTGAGGTACCTAAATTTTACACTAAAATTTTTGGTGCCTTGAGGTACTTAGTACCTAGAGATATCAAATTTTACACTAGAAATATGGTACATCTAGGTATCTTATGAAGGATAGTAAAATTACCCATAATACCATGTAAGCCATCCGAGGGCGAGGACGATGCAGACAGCGTGGGAGATGAGGCTAAGCTGCTAGAGAAATCATGGCGCATGCAGAAGGGGCTTCATGTGGGCATGCTGCAGGGTCACTAGCCTCAGTGAGGGATTTAGTCCTTTTCTTGGTGTGCGGTGATAGTATTAAGTATTCAATCTTTAACTTGTTTTGTTCAATCAGGGCATGATTCTCCATGGTTTAGATTGAAGGGGATGGAGTATGGCGTCGGATTTTAGAGATTGATCGCCTGATGCACTACTGCACGAGCAGTGGTGAGAATTTATTTGTTGCTGTACTCCCTTTCTTATTGTGTTGTGTGTGGACTAACGATCCACAATCTCCGCCTGGTTTCCCCCAATTAGGGCATGGTTTTACACGAGCTACTTTGTTTTATTTGAACGGGAACCAATATTGTTTGAATATGCTTTATTTTAAAGAGAGAAGAATGTGCGTTACAGATCATTGAATCACAATATATTTCTTACGAATAATCAATAATATTGGTATAAATTTCCCAGCGTTTGATAATAATTTGATTGCAGTTGGCCTGGGCATAGCTAGACGTGAAGCAGCATTACGGCTGCGATTCCGGAGAACATGCCCTCACGGAAAAAACATGGAAAGGCACAGGAATGTTGGCTGGGGCTGTTTGCCATGCTCACGTAAGTTATTCACTGAGTTCTTTTCTTTCATGCATTTTTCAAACAAAATTAATGAGTTTAGCCAAAAAATTAAGTACCTTTTTTTCTATCCAATCTGTTTGATTGATGTTGCCCTTCCTATTCGGATAGCCACTGATGCAAATATTATTTTTCTCTCTTGGTGTAGTGTTCAATGTACAATAACCCACGAAACATAGATGATAAACAACATTAAATGAATTAGGGTGTTGTTGGAGAAATAATACTGATATATGTAGCTATTCTGTGGCTGTGTACATCCACTTGGATGTAGAGGCCAGGTTATTTAATCCATTATCTAAGAAAAATGTAGCTATACATTTTATCAGCAGCAAATGATTCAATTTAATTTATATATTTCCCTCTCTTATTTTGACTCAGTATCTCCAAGTAGACCTCATTTTCATGGTAGGAAACCTTGCCATTGGTGAGCTGATTTGGAAGGCAACAGCTCCAGCTAGAGTAAAGTTCGTGTGGTTGGCTGTTAAAGGCCGGTGCTTAACGGCAGACATTCTGCTGAAGAGAGGGATGGCCTCATGAACCAGTCTACTCACTGTGTCAGTCTGATTTTGATGATTGCAATCATCTCTTCACTGCGTGCGCCTACACAAACAGAGTATGGACCTTACTGCAGGACTGGATTAATGTGGATTTCCACCCGCCCAAGTCACCATGGTCTTCCACTGGCCGAATGGTGGCAACAAGCGCGACGTTTGTTTTTCGGGTGAGCTACGGGTATGCGTTTGATTCGAGGATGAAGATGGAAGAGCATATAGTCCTTTATGACAACGACCCTAAGTAGAGTTCTTCTCATGGCCAAATCCTTTATAAAGAAAAATTTACGATATACTAATTCTATGACTATGTAGGCAAGATATCACAAGTAAGTCTATGAGATGAAACAAGATTTTTCTTGGCCTTAGGAACATAAAGAACACTTTTTCACTGTAAATCTCAACTAGGGATCTGAACAACAGAATTACCATGTGACTAATCTCCATACATGCACCACTCGCTATATGAATTTGATCATTGCCATGATATTTGCCACGAACTATTAGCTTCTCAAGCTCTCCGGTGACATGATTTGTAGCGCCGGTGTCAAGATACCAATTGAAATCAATGCCGTAGAATGCAGCAGAACCTGCAAACCTTTCATCTATGGAACATAGTCTTCATCGAAACGGTACTAGCAATCTTTTACCGTGTGTCCCCTTTTGTAGCAAAGTTGACACTTGGGCCTGTTGTCGACACCTCCTATGTTTCTTCGACCACCGCTAGGGCTGCCTCTTCCTCGACTTCAGTTTCCACCATTGTTTGGAGCACCTTGTCATTGATGGGTAAGTCTGATGCGCGAGTGTTCGCGGTGACCGGGGCGAGCGAACTAGAAAAACCATCGTGCACTTTGATGAAAAGCCTGATTGCCTTCCTGTTTTCTTTGTTGATGTAGGCCAGCCCACGATCTTTTTTTTAGACTGGTCACCGGGGGGCGAAATGCCCACATGAATATATAACTTCCAACGATCTTATACAGGGCAGGTTTCACCTGCATAAATGTGGGCGCTGCCGCCGGCACTGCCATCGGGGGCAGCATCGCCGGCGGCGGCGAGGCTGCGCGCGCGTAGGAGGAGCGGGGCCTCGGCGACGGTCGCCTCCCGGGTCGCCCTGCAGAGAGCGACACGGGAGTCTCTCTCTCCACCAGGCCAGCCCACGATCATTTCCCCTATTCATGTTACTTGCAAGTCCAAGTCACATGAAGTTTTTTTTTTCTTCGAAGGCCCAGTGTAACGATTTTTAGCATAAAGAGTTATCCGTTTCTATTTTCCCTTTAAATTTCTGAGAAGTGGTGGGTAGGGGTGAGAAAATATTATACATAGAAACTTTATACGAATACAACTTTATACATAGAAAGCCTACGCATAGAAAACTTTATACGTAGAAACATTCAATGTATATACACATGGACTTTACACACATAAAAATTATATATAGATATTTTATACACATAAACTTTATACATATATACTTTATACAGATAAAATCTATGCATAGAAACTAAAATTCATTAGGTAATAGAAAGTTTTTACAAATGAGTTTTAAAACAAATTTGCATTCCACATAAGCACAAAATATTCGGATGGGCCATGAGCCCGTGAGGCCCATGTAGTTGGATCAGCGTGCCGCAACAAATTTCCGAGTCACGTGTCCGAAGCTCCCAGCCACGTGTTTTCCCATTCGCGGGATGAGCAACACGCGAACGTTCACGTATTAACGTTCTCGGTCATTGATTGTTGCCGCCGCCACCTCTGACGCCTTGTTGCTGACCCTGGACACAGCTTGCGCTATTAGCCGAGGCCAGGATTCTCCATTCTCCACTCTGGCAAAGTGCTAGCCTCTGCTTGAAGCTTTACTCCCTCCGTTTCACAATGTAAAACTTTCTAACGTTGTTCATATTCATATAGATGCTAATGAATTTAGGCATATATACGTGTATAGATTCATTTATATATATATATATATATATGAATGTGGGCAATGCTAGAAAATCTGACGATATGAAACGGAGGGAGTATCAACTAAGCAAAGGCCTCACTGACGGTCACCTGATCTGGTCGCCCAACAATGGACGAGATTACCGGCACATATTCTTCATCAAGACCAGCAATGATATAGCTGATCAGATCATCATCATCAATGGGTTTGCCGATGATTGCAAGTTCATTAGCCAAAGGCCGCACCTTCCCAACAAACGTCGTGATGTTCATGTCGCCCTTCTGCAGCGTGGTGAGGGAGAGTCGCGTGTTGATTGTTCGTGCCCGAGTCATGGACCCGAACATCTCTTGGATCATACTCCATGCCGAGGCTGTTGTGCTACATGTTGCCACTTGAACAAGTAGATCTTTAGTCATGGAGGAAAGCAAATATGAAAGCACCTGTTGATTTGTCGAAATCCATTCATCACAATCTGGTTTGTTGATGATAATTTCCTTTTCGCCCTCCTTTTCTCGAAGAATGACAACTGGAGCTTGATCTGCTCCTATGAGAACCTTCCAACCGAGCACCCCGAACAATCACAAGAATACGCGCCTTCCATATGGCATGATCCGAGTTTGCAATTTCGGTTGCACCGGAATTTCGATGGTTGCCAAAAAATTGAAAATTTCGTGATTTCCGGGTTTTTCTGACCAAAATTATTTGAATTTTTAACATATTGTGACTGAATTTGAACAAATTTTGACCAAATTTACAAATATTTGACAAGAAACCAAAAATTCCGGGGAGATTTGTGCTTGCCGGTGGAAGCCGAAATTTCGAACCAAAATTTCAAACCATGGGCGTGATTCGATTTTCCTAGCTTTTCCGAAAAGAAAGCAGTGATTGCTGGCATGATTCTTCGAGAAACTTCGGGAAAATGCTTGTAATCGGCCGTTCGACTGACACGGAAAAATTGGATACCACATCGATGCCTTCCACACTGTCTACATGCTAACTCTAGAAAGATTCGAATCCGTCAACTGATATGGCAAGTTTCACGGGTGCTTCTATCTGTAATCAACTAACTGCTAACTCAATTATCGTAGCTATTCATTCCAACCATGCATATGCATGTGTCAATCTTTAAAATATTTTTTCTCCTAAACTACTTATCAATCTAAAATCCGATTACACCATTGTATTTATTGGAATTAAATCGTTATAACAAGATATCACATGTTTATATTCCGATTAAAGAAAAATATAAGTTTCAAACTATTAATACTTCATGTTTCATACGCTATGTCGATATGTTTCAGCGCCTGTTTTTACTGTGTTTCACAAAATTCTCGAAAATAATTGCCACTACCCTCCATCAATGCTTGCATGCATGCATTTTAGCGGTCTTTAAAATGATTTTTCTTCTAAACTACTTATCCAATCTATGATTCGATCATACCGTTGTATTCGTTGTAATTACATCTTTACAACAAGATATCACACGATTATATTTTGATGAAAGAAAAATATATGTTTAAATCTATTAACTCTCGTTGTTTCATAAGTGATAGCAACATGTTTCAACGTGTATCTTCACTGTGTTTCATAAAATTTTTAATGTTTCAATTGCTGTTTTTTTTTGTTTCACCATATATAAATTAATGTTTCACATGTTGATCAGCTGCAACATTTTGACCGTTCGATATTTTTTGAGATATCGGATGTCCGATTGGTAGTATTCTCCCAAACTTTGCCATGGCTTTGCTTGGTGATGGAGGTAGATCGGTTTGCTCTGATACCATATCAGGGAATAATAGGGGGAAGCGCTGAACCCTGATAGGGGCCGCACCTTTGTTGATATAGGCAGGAAAAGCCTTTGCCGTGGCGCATTACAGAGGGAACGGATCACTCTCAACAACCTGAGATCAATCCGTATTATAGATATAAGATCAAATGGTTAAATGTGATAATATAAACCTTATCTCCAATAACTAACTTATCTAACACGGACTGCGCGTGCTCAATATTGTCTCCGCTTTGGTTGCCTCCACCCAATCCCCCTCACACTCTGCCGGCGGCCAAAACCCGGTGTTGGCCGGTGTGGCGGAAGCTGCTCTCCCATAAGACAGCCGGATGCGGGCGCAAGAAACTTCACGGAGCAGAGGAATTTGTCTCGATCCGGCACAGCTATACAGTCGAAGAGATATCGGGCTTGTTTCGTTTGATGCCAATTTTTATCCTACTAAAATTTTGGTAACTTAAACAGCGACACATGCATGTTTGGTTTGATACCAAATTTTGGCTACTATAGTTCAAATTCAATGCTAGAAAATTTGGTAGTGCCAAAACTTTCCACCAAGATTTTGGTAGAGTAAAAATTGACTTTAAATCAAATAAGCCCGTCTTCAGCAGCAGCCATCGGAAGGCACGGCTAGCTCCACCTCCGAAGGTAAGCTCGTAGATTCCCAGCCCGTGAACAGAAATAGCCACTAATAATTTTGATAGGCACTAAAATAAGCAAATAATAGAAGCTTAGTTGGTGTTCTGAATTATAGCCACCTGCGGCGATACAAAGATAAATTCAAAGTCTTGGACGATTTATATAATGCACGACATGACAGCCTAGTAGGGCATTATAATGCACAAATTGGCACTCTTGCATATATTTTTTTTCCATTTTTTCTATGGACGTCCTTAGGAGAGGAAACTTGCTGGAATTGTTTGTTTAGGTGAAACCATACATGCTGCTGTTGGTTTGGTTTAATTCGGTTGCTGCAGTGGGCGGATGTTTATCTTCTCCTTCTGATCTGGTGCTAGGCTGATGCCTGCTGTGATACCTCAGCTGACATATGGGGCTTACACTGAGCATCTTTAGCAACTTGCCAGCTTACACTGAGCAGTTGACCACTTGTTGTTTGATTGTATGATGTGATTATTTGAAATTTGAAGCGCGTCAACTAACATGATGTATCTAATGCACCCATTGTCTTAAACAACCCACCCACTTTTTTCTAATGGAACAAACAGCTCACTTGCTTCTTCTCATTCCATTATCAGTCTCCTTCAACTCCAACTCATCTTTGTGCCTTGGATGGTTTTTTCCAAAGACTTAACTCAACCAGCTACACCATACGCTCATTCCTCAACCCACCATTAATTGTCCTCCAATCCTTTCTGTTCTGCCAATACTCCATTGATCTCTGAGCTTTGAGCCATGGCGGAGTTACTATCGGCTCTTTTGCCTGCCCTCCTGAAGAAAGCAGGTGAGTCTCTCGGCACAGAGTTTAGTTTCATCGGGGGTATTGAACGACGGCGTTCGGAGCTGTATACCTTGCTGCTTGCCGTCAACCAAGTGATCAATGATGCCGAGGATCAGGCATCCAAGAAGCCTGCTGTGAAGTCTTGGATCGCAAAGCTGAAGCTGGCTGCCTGTGATGCTGATGACGCCCTTGATGAGCTGCACTACGAGGAGCTCCGCTGCGAAGCGCTCCGTCGTGGGCATAAAATCAATACTGGCGTAAGGGCTTTCTTCTCTTCTCATTATAATCCTTTACTGTTCAAGTATAGGATAGGAAAGAGACTCCAGCAGATAGTCGAGCGGATTGATCAGCTTGTTTCGCAAATGAATCGATTTGGGTTCCTAAATTGCTCCATGCCAGTGGATGAGAGGATGCAAACCTATTCCTACGTCGACGAGCAGGAAGTTATTGGAAGGGACAAAGAAAGAGATGAAATTGTCCATATGCTTCTAAGTGCCGAGACCGACGAATTGCTAATACTTCCTATTGTTGGGATAGGAGGACTGGGAAAGACAACTCTTGCACAGCTGGTCTTCAATGACGTAAAAGTGAAAGCACATTTTCAAAAGCATATGTGGGTTTGTGTGTCAGAGAACTTCAGTGTTCCTGTTATTGTCAAGGGGATAATTGACACCGCAATTGGGAATGATTGTGGACTGAAGTTTGATAACCTGGAATTGCTACAGCAACGTCTTCGGGAAGAACTGGGCCAAAAGAGGTACCTTCTTGTACTAGATGATGTTTGGAATGAAGATAAACAGAAATGGGGAGCTCTTAGAACATTGCTTGGTTCTTGTGGAATGGGAAGTGCGGTGGTTGTGACTACCCGAAACGTGAAAGTTGCATCAATCATGGAGTCAATTAGTCCATTGTGCCTAGAGAACCTTAACCCAGAAGATTCTTGGATTGTATTCAGCAGAAGAGCTTTTGGCACAGGTGTGGTTGAGACTCCAGAGCTCGTTGAGGTTGGTAAAAGAATTGTTGAGAAATGTTGCGGGCTTCCGTTAGCCATAAAGAGTATGGGAGCCTTGATGAGTACAAAACAGGAGACACGAGATTGGCTATCCATCCTTGAAAGCAACACTTGGGATGAAGAAAGCCAGATACTGCCAGCGCTGTCTTTGGGCTACAAAAATTTGCCTTCTCATATGAAACAATGTTTTGCTTTTTGTGCAGTATTCCCGAAGGACTACGAGATTGATAAGGACGATCTAATACATCTTTGGGTATCGAATGGATTTATTCCATCCAAGAAGATGTCAGATATTGAAGAGAATGGGAATCATGTTTTCTGGGAGCTTGTTTGGAGGTCATTTTTCCAAAATGTTAAGCAAATTGGATCAATTTTCCAACGTAAAGTGTACAGGTATGGGCAAAGTGATGTAACTACATTCAAAATTCATGATCTTATGCATGATCTTGCAGTTCATATAAGCGGTGATGAGTGTTTAGCTTTGGAAAATCTGGCTAAAATTAAGAAAATACCCAAAAATGTCCATCATATGGCTTTTGAGGGTCAACAAAAGATTGGTTTCTTGATGCAGCATTGTCGAGTTATCCGCAGTGTATTTGCCTTAGATAAGAATGACATGCATATTGCCCAGGACATTAAATTCAATGAGTCTCCTTTGAGAGTAGTTGGGCTTCATATTTTCGGCATCGAAAAATTTCCTGTTGAACCAGCATTTATGAAGCACTTAAGATATCTTGATTTGTCTGGTAGCTACATAAATACACTACCTGAAGCAGCTAGCGCACTTTATAATTTACAAGTGTTGATACTCAATAGATGCAGGAGGCTGACCCACCTACCAGATGGCATGAAATTTATGATTAGCCTTCGCCATGTGTACCTTGATGACTGTGCTCGACTAACAAGCATGCCAGCTGGTCTAGGACAGCTCATTAATTTACGGACATTGACAAAGTTCGTACCTGGTAATGAATCTGGCTATAGGATTAACGAACTGAATGACTTAAAACTTGGGGGCAAGCTTCAGATATTTAATTTGATTAAAGTAACAAATCCCATAGAAGCAAAAGAAGCCAACCTTGAGTGTAAGACAAATTTGCAGCAGTTAGCACTTTGCTGGGGCACATCAAAATCTGCGGAGTTACAAGCTGAAGATTTGCATTTATATCGTCATGAAGAAGTACTTGACGCTCTTAAGCCTCCCAACGGATTGACCGTTCTAAAGCTGAGGCAGTATATGGGCACTACGTTTCCCATATGGATGGAAAATGGAATCACATTGCGCAACATTGTTAAGCTCAAAGTAACGGACTCCATAAATTGTATGAAACTTCCATCAGTGTGGAAGCTTCCCTTTCTCGAGGTTCTCCGACTAAAAGACATGAAGAAGTTGAAATACTTGTGTAACGGGTTCTGCTCTGATAAAGAATGTGATCATCAATTAGTGGCATTCCCAAAATTAAAACTCTTGTCACTAGAACGAATGGAATCCTTAGAGAACTGGCAGGAATATGATGTTGAACAGGTAACACCGGCTAATTTTCCCGTGCTAGATGCAATGGAAATCATTGATTGTCCAAAATTGACAGCTATGCCTAATGCTCCGGTTCTCAAGTCGTTAAGTGTGATAGGAAACAAAATATTGATTGGCTTATCGTCAAGTGTTAGTAATCTGTCGTATCTATATCTTGGTGCAAGTCAAGGGAGTTTAGAGAGGAAAAAAACACTAATCTATCACTATAAAGAAAACCTGGAAGGAACCACAGATTCAAAGGATCATGTTTTGGCCCATCACTTTTCATCATGGGGCTCACTCACTAAATTACACCTACAGGGATTCAGTGCTCTAGCACCAGAAGATATACAAAATATAAGTGGTCACGTGATGTCTGTGCAGAACTTAGATCTAATTTCCTGTGACTGCTTCATCCAATATGATACATTGCAGTCACCACTGTGGTTCTGGAAATCATTTGCGTGCCTGCAGCACTTAACAATCGAGTACTGTAACAGCCTCACCTTTTGGCCAGGGGAGGAGTTCCAAAGCTTGACTTCATTAAAACGACTCGACATTAGATATTGCAACAACTTCACGGGTATGCCACCTGCCCAAGTCTCAGTGAAGTCCTTTGAAGATGAGGGCATGCATAATTTGGAACGGATAGAAATCGAATTCTGCTACAACTTAGTGGCTTTCCCTACAAGCTTATCGTATCTGAGGATATGCAGCTGCAATGTACTTGAGGACCTACCTGAAGGACTGGGTTGCCTGGGCGCTCTAAGAAGTCTGTCAATTGATTATAACCCAAGACTGAAGTCCCTGCCTCCCAGCATTCAACGTCTATCAAATCTGACCAGGCTCTACCTGGGAACTAATGACAGCCTAACAACATTACCCGAAGGGATGCATAATCTGACAGCTCTCAATGATCTGGCTATTTGGAACTGCCCTAGTTTAAAGGCTTTACCGGAAGGTCTCCAGCAGAGGCTGCACAGCCTGGAAAAGCTCTTTATTAGACAATGCCCTACGCTGGTGAGAAGATGCAAACGTGGAGGAGACTACTGGAGCAAAGTTAAGGATATTCCAGATTTACGTGTGACAGGGGACTAGGGGAGCAGCATTCTGCTTGGGGAGATGCAGCCAGAGCCGTATATGGCTGAATATTGTCAAAATTCAGCCAGAGAATTTAACGATATTGATGATGAATCTCACAAAATTCATATTGAGAATTTAACGATCTATTGATATGGCTGAATATATATATTGATTGGTTAAAGAAAATATATACATTGGTTAGTCTTTTCAAGGAAAATCTATGTAGCATGAATTTAACAGGTTCCTAGAATATTAGTCGGCGTGAATATCTAAATACTAAATCAGTTGTAGTCCATGCTAGCTAGTTTGTATATTCTTTGGAATTGAAACATACTTTGTTGTTATAAAGAAGTCACATCATCGCTTAGCTTTAACACCATTTGATGTTGCTTTAACAGTTTAGATTTGCACAATATTTTTCTAGCCTGCATGAGCCCTTTTTTAGGCTGTTGGATTAGCCATTTCTTATGGATATATGTTACAATTTGGCAACAACATTGTACCCACCAACATCCTGCAGTAATGTGCCGGATGTCATCTAGTTTTAAAATAGAAGTGCCTTTTATCAAGAGTCAACAATCAAACATTATTTATCACCCAAATTTTCCCTCCTATACGATTCTCTCCTTTTAATTGAACAATTTTGCTGTTTTGATCTGCTTAGGCATAAATTTGGTATATGATGAAAATTTCTGGTAGACTAATAAATTTTGCAGATGATGAGTTTTTGGCTGGATGGTTCTATTTATGTTTTTTCACACATGTTATTAACATTACATATGCTTATAAAGCTAAAGTTTGTATAAATTTTATGAAAAATTATGTATTAATTGCCAGTTTTATGTGTATTCATATGCAAATGAACTTCCAAAGTTTATAGTTACAGAATTAGTAATTCTGTAGTTCAAAATAAATGCAGAACAATGAATATTTTACCTATAGTTATACCTCATATATATGAACTTTTTTATCTAACATGATCCGTTAAAATTTGGGCATATCAAGTTCTTTGTTTGCATTTTTTAAATATCAACAGCTGTGTTAGACCCCCGCAAAAAAAAAAAAACAGTTGTGTTAGACATTTAGCATATTTTTTTACTTAATATCATTAGACTAACAGGGACGGCCCTTAATTAATGGATTATAGAGATATATCTATTTCTACCTAGAAAAGAGAGGAAATGAAATGAGCAGAGCTTATGCCAATGCTTGAATTTTTTTTATTGGAGATTGAATGCTAAAATGCATATTAAATAAAAAAATATGGAAGATAAACACTGAACCTTGGTTTACTTGGTAAATTGATACATTAACATCACATTCTCCTTATTTTCTTTTGAGTTCTTGTACCCTTGACCCTTCCACATAGCATGGATTGTTTGATTCACTTGAAGCACCGTATAGCGGCGATCGCCCTTGTTAGTTGTTGTTTCCACAATGCTGTTGCGGACACAATCCTCTTATGCTGTCTTTGGACCGAACAGAGCTCACAATCCTCCGCAACAGCCACAACGGGGAATGGCTCGTAATTAAATAACGACGACGACATAAAAGTTGAATCAAATATGTGAATAAGTTGCTTTTAATTTTTTAAATTATTAAATCCTGCACAAAACAAAACTAAATAACCCAAATACTTTATAAAAATTGTACTTTATCAAATATTTTGTACTAACCATCTTTCTGGACTTTACGGCCCCTTTGATTTAAAGGAAATTCATAAGAATTTTAGGGGATTTCATTCCTATAGGAATTTTTCCTATATAGCCATTTGAATCAAAGAAATGGATCTTATGGAATCCTATGAAATTCCTATGTATTGTCTAATGCCATGCAAGTTTTTGAGGAATTCTAACATGAGGTAAAATCTCTTGGAAACTTTCCTTTGAGTCTTTATCTCTCCTCTAATTCCTGCGTTTTTCCTGCGGTCCAATCAAACGACCTTTGAGTCAAATCTCTTGGAAACAGAGGATTTTGCAATCCTCTGTTTTACACTTACATTCCTATCAAAATCCTGCGTTTTTCCTATTCCTATGTTTTCTCATTCCTGCGATTTAAAGGGGCCCTACATTGAAAAAGTGTTTTAATTAGTGTTACGTGCTTACCCTGCACGAATGTCCTGGTAAATAGATTCGGTAACTAATTAATAATCTTGTGCTACACTAAATAAAACAGGTGAATACTTAATCTGGTATATGCGAGATGTGTGAACAATTTTAAGGTGGCACGTGATAAAGGATAGGAGATCAAGGGCTGGTTTGAGGCCTAAATTGCCCTTGCGAATATTTGGCAATTTTAATAGTGTTTAGTATCTATTTGGTTTGAAGTTAAATTTTGGCATGTCTAAGAAAGTTGGTCATTTTAATAGTTAACTTAGGGCTTGTTTGGTTTGATACCAACTTATTGCCCTATCAAAATTTTGGTAACTTCAATAGTAGCAAATGTATATTTGGTTTGCTACCAAATTTTGCCTACAATAGTTCAAATTCATCACTACCAAATTTGGAACCAGATCCTCTGGCGCTCGCTACGTCAGAGGGACGTCCAACGTCTCTCGTCCGTCCATTCGGCATCGGACGGAGTCGAGCGAGCACAGCAGATGGGCTCGGCCCATATGGCAGAAAAAACAGCCCACGCGGTATCGACGCCACCTCCGAGCCACAGCCGCCGGCGCCGCTAGGAAACAAATGGGGGAGGGGAGGCCTCTGCGCCATCGGCGTCGCCGCCACCGCCGCAGCCTGCACCTCCCGAGTGAGGGCTCCTTCGTTGCCACCTTCCTCTTCCCACCCAGCAAAATCGGGATGGCTCCTGTTTTCCCGTGGTCTTCAGCCGCTCACTGCAGCTCGTCGTCTCCTCCGGCGCATGCACGGGTGGAGTGGAGTAGTAGAGGACCACGGAAGAAGCCCCTCCTCTCATCGCTGCCCTCCTCCCCATCCCTCGCCCTGCGTTCTCCTGTTTCATCCAGCGTGGAGGTCGCGGCTGCCTCGACGACAACGGCTTCCACGGTGGTGCCCTCGCGGAGTCTTTTGCCACCACCCACCTCGGGGCTCTCATACACCTAGGGGTGGGCGTTCGGTCAGACCGAAAAATTCGGTCTCGGTCTTCGGTTTTCGGTCAGTTCGGTCTTTGCAAACTCAGGATCGAATTTCATCCCAAAAAATTTAGGACCGGCAAATTCGGTCTCGGTGTTTTCGGTTTCGGTCTCGGTCTAACCGAAATTTTTCAGGAGAAAATTTGGAATGAAAAAAAAATGACGGAGGCGTCGCCGGCGCGGTGGAGGACGGAGGCGTCACCGGCGCGGTGGAGGGCGGAGGCGTCAGCCACGGCGCTGTGGAGGCCGGAGAGCGGAGGCGTCGGCCGCGGCGCTGTGGAGGGCGGAGGCGTCGACCGTCGCGGTTGTCACACCCTAAAAATCCCAAATATATAAATTGTTGTCTAAATTGGAATTATTAGAATTTATTTTAAAAGCCTAGAAGAGAAGATCTGGTTTTAATTAATAAATTCCAATATAAAATGGGGCCAGATAAAATTTCATTAAATACTTTGCTTAATTCTATAATTCCTAGATTTTTCTGGGATTTATTTGAGCTAAGGAAGTATTTTTAATAAATGGAATTGCATTTCATGAATAATTTAAATTGGAAAAGGTTTTAAAAGTCTCTTTTGGCTTTGGGCCGAAAGTCGGCCCAAAACCTTCTCTCTCTCTCTCTCCCCGGCCCAAGCCGGCCCGCAGTCGCCCGCCCGTGCGCGCGTTCGCCGCTGACAGGTGGGGCCCGCCTGTCAGGGTCGTCGTCTTCCTCCCGACGAAACCCTAGACGCGCCGCGCCGCCGCCGCCATTCCAAATCCGGCCGCCCCTTTCCGTTTCCGGTGAAATCAATTGAGGAGAAAGGATCCCCGTGATCCACTCTATCTTTTCCCTTTTGGAAACATCGTCTAAATCGCTTTGGAAATCCGTGGATTCGAGTTCAATTCGGATCGATCTCTCTCCTCCGAACCCTAAACCTTCTATCGCGTCGCCGGTCGCCGTGGGCCTTCGCCGCCGCCTCCTTGCCCCTATAAAAGGACCCCCGGTGTCTCCGCTACCCGTCGCCACCCTCGCCTTCGTCTCTCTTCGCCCGTAGAGCCCTAGCCCCGTGGGACCTCGCGCCGCCGTCGTCGCCGTCGCTCCAGCCGTGCGTCGTCGTCGCTCTAGTCGTCGCCGTTGCTCGGGAAGGCCGCCGTCGTGGTCGCCGTCGCGTCGCCGTCCTCGTCCGCCCCTCCATCGTTGCTGTAGACCGCCGGAGCACCGCCATCGTCGTCAAGCCGAAGGTTGCCGCCGCTTCTTCCTCGACGCCGTCGCCGTCCGTTGATCTTCCGCCGCCGTTTTGGTCACCGGTGAGTTCGCCGCGTCGCTTTCTACGTGCTGGTGCCCTCCGTTCGTGCCGTCGCGCCGTCGTTCGCCGGCGAGCTTGCACGCCCGAGCCGCCGCCGGTGGTGACGTCACCGCTGACGTCATCGTCGTCGTCCCCCGTGGTCCGGTCGTGGACCGATGGATCTTGGCCGTCAGTTTTGGATGGATGGATCTCGGCCGTTCGTTTCTGTGAGCCGCCCCGTGCACTCGGTCCACCGCAAACCCTAGCCGCTGACGCAATAAACCCCTTTTTCCTTTTCAAAAATAATTCATTATTGCGTCATAATTCAATTAAAACCCATATAAGTGATTTAATCCGATTTAATCTTTGAAAATTCATAACTAATTCATCTTAGCTCGGATTTAGTTGGTTCAAGTCTCTAATTTTTTCTAAAATTAAGATCTACATGTTAAAAATATCCACATGTACTGTTCATGCTTGTTTATGTGCTGTTTGGTGATTTTGCTCCTTTCTGTTTAGATTCCGACGTTTCCGGAGAGTCCATTTTTGCAGGAGAAGAATTTGAAGAGTTCCAAGGCCAGCAAGGCAAGTCACACAGATCCCAAACATCCCTTTGAGCATGTTGATCCCGTTTAAAGCTATTGTTTCTATTCAACTATTGCATTTATTTTCGAATGTCGTTGGGTGGAATTAACCTATTGATTGTTATAGTCCTTTTGTTCTTGATTACTTTATTCCTTGATACCTTAGGTTATTATAACTTGACTAGTTGGGCTTTATATATTGGTTCAGCTAGATATTAGATACGATTGCTTAGCCATGCTTAGAAACATTAGCACACTATTGGGATAACTTATGACTCACTATTATTTAATGATGGCTTAATGATAGCTCATGATGGTCAATCGTGATTGATTAATTAATTAATTTGCCAACTAAAATCTGATAATGATGGGTTGTGAACACATGGTTTTGATGGTCGTGCTCATGACAATTAAGAACCGGTTCACGAGTTTCGGTTGTGAAACATTAACCGTGCCAACCACAAGCCAGCGTGGGCAACGGCTTTACCTTTTGTATAGCATGGTTCATTGCGGAGCACCAGACTGAGAAGTGGCGGAGATAAGCCCACGGGGGTCGCTGGGGAGTCCATACCTTGTTTATAAGGGGTGATTATGCTCCAGGAATGGTGCACTGTGGTGGATTGTGTTGTGCGAGGGGTACTGTCACAGCCCCTTTCTGAGGTACCGTGGTGGTATTGAGGCGCATGGTGACATGTTGTGGGGCTGTGTCTTGTGGGTACAGTGGTACACCTCTGGCCAGAGTAAAACTATTCGAATAGCCGTGCCCGCGGTTATGGGCGGGTCTAACAATGTCTTTCGTGATTAGTTTCACACTTCTCACCATAATAAAAGATGCTATAACTGGTAATAATTTGATTAGCTCCTGGTTTGGAATGGTATATTCCTGGTTTGGAGATAGAACTGTGCAACCGGGATGATTGTTAAGAATGGTTGGGCCTATGCAACAGGGTATGTTGTATAGCATTGGATTAATATTGTTTAATTACTACTTAACTACTTTATTAAATTCTGAAATGTTTATTAAATGCTGTTTATGCAAATGAAACCCTACTATGCCATCCTTTGTTATCCTGTGCACTTGCATATTTGCTGCGTGGCTTGTTGAGTATGTCATATACTCACCTTGCAATCATTCATCAGAGGAGGAGTTCTACAGTGATGCTGATGGTGTGGAGGATTAGGTGTAGCCCTGGTCAAGCTGCATGTGGA